AAAGGAATATGGAACCGTTACTGATGTAAGCAAGAGCGCTTTTTCTTTCTATACATAAATTATTCTTTTAATATCTATAAATTCACTCCTCATTCTACATTGACCCCTAAAAATAATTTTTTTTATTGATCACCTCCTCTAACAAACATTTTAGATATATTTCAAATTAAATATTTTTTAATTCCAAATTAAATAGTGATGAAATTTTAATAAAAAAAGGATTTAGCCTTTCAAATCGAAATACATATCGGCCTGTTTGAATTGCTATTTTTAGAAATTTTGTAGAATAACGTACTGTAGTGATTTGATTCATGTAAGGTAAAAAAGTGATTCCTTTAAATATTAGAAGAGATTCCCAATCTGTCATAATTTACCAAAGTTCTTCTTGCATTCGTATCAGTAAAAGATTAGGTTTTTTTTTTCTCATGTTTTCATTTTTTGGGTCTTTTTTTTCTCTTGTGAAAATAGTCTGCGTATTAAGTCCTAGTTAATATTTATGCTAAATCAAAGTTGTTCATACTGCTACTAGTCTAGTGATTCATATGTATCAAAAGAATGTTAATTGAGGATGGTCATTCCAGCTCGGCTTGATCCGGCCGAGCCCCATTTCCCGTCTGTCCATCTGATAATGGTCACCTCGGCTCCGTCTCACTGAGCCAAGGCCCACACCACTTGAGGACGTCTATCCGACCTGATCACCTCGAATACGCACCGCTTACAGATGACTGAGATGATCACCACACCCATTGTCTCGAAGTGGTGCTGTGTTTGACATGACAACTGAGATCCTATCCATTGTTCTGACACTTGCATAGTGGATACAGCCTCTGGTACACTCTGCACACTGCCCAGAGTTGTCTAGTCAGACTGATACGCTGTTTCAATCAGATTTTTAAGGACTCGGACCCCACCGTCCTTCCCCCCACATTGTCCTACTGCGCAGAGTTGTCTAGTCAGACTGATACGTTGTCTCAATCAGATTTCTAAGGACTCAAACCCCACCGTCCTTTCCCCCACATTGTCCCATATAAATATCAACATGTCCCACTAAGAAAGGGGGCGATTTGGTAAGAGCCTGAACATTATTTCACTTCCTATTATCTAAACTAACTCGATCATCGAAAAAAAACCTGGGGATTTAGCCCCGTCTCCGATAAATTGAGCAGGTGATATCCGCGCAGCCGCACCTCACCTAGGAGAGTACTCCAGTTACCCGGTGCAACTCTTCAAGCCATAAATCACCTCTTCATTAATTAAGTAGTAATTATATATTAGTTACTTTCATGCTATACAAAAACACTTTATAATTTCTACTAAGTTGTACTACAGTATCCACCTTATGAATTAAGATGCCAATTTTCCTCACGACGCTACTATTACTTGGCAGATTTCTGATCACTTAATAGTTCAATTGCGACAGGAATCTTTATCAGCATATTAGTTACTTACATTTCAATCTTTATCAGCAGATTACTTACTTGCACTTGAAGGCTGCAAGAACCTAAAGACATCTCAACAATTCTTTTTTTGCTGGAAAATAATGTTAAAGATTATATGACCGAAAGTTTGCAAAATGTTCATAGCCATATACCCTACAAAAAAGTTGCAAACTAGAAGGTACGAGGACCAAAGCTTTGGGAATATCTTCTCGAGCCTTTGGCTTCACGACTCCATCCAACTAACTACCGAAAAGGCAAAAACTTAAAGTCTCCTTAGCGAGACATGTATATCAGATTTTATGTACTGGAAATGCATTGCTCTTGGCCAATTTGGACTTTTACCATTCTTCTATTAAAAAATTCACCATTTCAACGAGTTTTACGACTCCGTCCAACAACCAAAGGCAAAAACTTAACCTTTAAGTCTCCTTCATCACACACGTGTGTGTGTGTATCAGGTTTTATGTATTGGAAATGCATTACTCCTGGCCAATTTAGATTTTTACCTTTCATCTATTCAAAAATTCACAATTTCAACAAGTTGTGTGACCAGTTGTGCAAACTCGTCAATACTTCAAAGGTGTGAATCAAATTAATGGATCAATAAAACTATGTTGACCAAAAAATATTTGGATAAGAGATTAATCAAAATAATTATATTAGCACTTTTTATGATGTGATATATGTAAGATAAAAATATTGATGAAAAAATACAAAATTAATTAATAATTATAATTTTGATTAAGTAAAATTATATTTGAAAAGAATATTAATGGTCCCGTTTGGCAAATGAGTTTTTTTTGTATTTGTCTAAAATTTTATTGTAACTTATTGTAGAATTTGTAGAAAAACTTTTTAAGATGTAAAACTTTTTTTCTTTTCTTTTCTTTTTCTTTCTTTCTTTTTCCTTTTCTTTTCTCTCCTCCTCTTCTCCCTCATCTCACCACTTGCTGGCCGAGGGCAATGGCAGCAGCTTAATTTTTTTTCCCTCTCTCCGCTCTCATCCCCTCTCCTTGCATACACGATCTGGTCGCGTGACTAAAGATCACGTAAGGGGAGGAGGGGAGGAGAAGGAAGGAGGAGAGGGGGACAGAGAGGGAGAAAAGAAAGGAAAAAAAAAAAAGAGATGGCCGGCGGCGGGGGTGGTAGTGAGTTGAGGTGGAAGAGAAACAGGAAGAAGGGAAAAAAGGGAAATTTTTTTGTGTGTTTTTTGATATTTTGAAGTGTATGTTTTAAAATTTTTAAAATTTTTTTGATATTATTGTAGTTAAATTTATTAAAAAACTTGTAGGAGGAAAATTAGGCAAAAAATTGGTTTGGCACCAAACACACTCATACCAACTACTATACTAGCAAATGTCATAGCATTTCTAGATATATTTTTTGCAATTTTGTCGGGGAAAGAGTTCCTTTATTTTTTGTTAGAATGGAAGGGCAAAAGTTAATTGTCCAGATATAGTATTGATTAATGGTGGATCAATAGCTACAATAAACACTTTCTATAATTAGTTGAATATTTAGCTGCCATTAGTGCTATCTGCCTAATATAATCAAGCTTCTTTCTTATCATCTTCAGTAATCAAAAGACAGCATTAAAGGGGCCACCTGCCATTCCACCACCCATTGCGTACAATACATCTTTTGTTATTCAGATGTGGTAACTAACCGTTCAGACCTTTTTTGCCGTTTCACCCAATCATAAGCATCTGACGTCACTGACTTTATCGAATCGTCACGCTAAAGGAGTCAATCTGTCCACGTGTCAATTGATGACTCGGATACTTGTTTTGTTTCTATAGGTGGATGAACACTGTAGAATATCCGTAATGCCAAAACCGCTCAAAACCAAAACGAAAACGGCAGAACCGACTGTTCTTAATTCTTATTTGCTCCTATTGGTGGTTTTTCATTTTACTAAACAAATGTTTTGTTCCACAATTAAGTCCAGGCTAATGGCATATAATTCTTTCATAACAAATCATGAGAATTTAATTTATGTGTGTTTGAATAGAAGATTATTTGAAAATTTTGGAATAATTACTATAGTATTTTTGTAATATGATGTGCGTAAGAAATATGGATTGGGAAGATAAAACAAATTAAATAAAAGTATTCATAACGCAAAAGAATAGGTTTTTGAAAAAAATGACGACCAAGCCTAACAGATAGGATTTACGCCTGTTTGCCCTCAAAAGAATCAAATTACTCTTGATATAATTGTTGCTTTTAAAGCAATTTTGTTAGCATGCATAACAATAAAATGATATTGTATTTATTCAACAAAAAAAGATAATTCAATTATCTCTTGACAAGTAATTTCAAAGCAAAACTATATTTTACAAGATTTATGTGCATTGTAAGATACGTGGAGTAAGTAATCTATTACATCTTTCAAGTTTTACTATAAGTAGAATTTCTTTTGTGTGGTAATCCCTTGTAACCCTTGTCCATAGAAGTGTAGGTATGAAACTTTATAAAGCATTCATTGTTAGTGACATTAGGTGAGGTATTAGATGTTACATTATGAAACTTAACACAAAGTTAACGTGATATTTTTGGGTAAAATATAGGAATTTGATATGATAATGACATAATTTAAGAAATATTTTGTTATTAGCCTTTGTGGAATAAGCAATCAAGGTACTTATTATAACCATTGTTTTTGAGCGTGAGGGGAAGCCTAATCATGGAGGTCTTTGATGTAAATCGCCTATAATTTGTCAAAAATAATTAATCCAAATTCATCACATAACTCGTCAACTATCATGATATTTACACCGTAATTTGGAGTTGTTGAAAATATTAACAAAAGGGGTTGAAAAATCAACAATTTAGTTAAAATTTGGCAAACAAGTTTTTCCAATTATCAGTCACAAAAAGGACAGATATATGTCAAAATTAAAGGAGTACTTTGAAGTAGCAAAATTAAAATGACGGTCCTGCCTTTGCACCACTTTTCAATTTGGCATCTACATTTACAAAAATTAATCAATATCATCAAATAGTAACACAAATCTTTTATTTTGGTAGTGAAAAAACTAGCATTCATCACAAATGAACCTTATACTAGAAAAGAGAGATGACTTAAAATCTGTACATCTCATAAGTGTTCAATTTCTCCCTCATTCCATTATGCAAATATTTGACCTAATCAATCTTAATAGATTATAATAATTAAACATTTAGAACAAATCCAAAACATTCAGAATAAATCTTATTTTACCATTATCAATTAGAATAAGTGTACTAAATATTCAACGCAAAAAAAAAAATTACTCAGCATTAGCGTGGTTAAATCTTTATTATTACTATTAGTGTTTTATCATATTTTCAGAGTCTTCTCCACTATCAAATCCGGGATTCAAATCCTTTATCTGAGTGCCCGCCGAGTTTCGAGTAGGAAAGGTGCAGAGAGGAACGGAGAGTTTAAAGGTAAAAAAAAAAAAAATTTGCTGATTAAATTGAAATGACGAGGAAAATGCTAAATGTTTACTTTTCAAAGTTGAACTTTAAGAAAAGTCAAATCATAAGATGAACGAATATGACACGTGCTGCTAGTATATTGTCTAATCTCTCCCCCCAAGATTAATTAAATCTTTACTCAATTCGTCATTTCCTTCTTCTCATCAAATATCTGCACCGTCTTGATGAGTAGCCTAGCTGCCTTCATTCTCGACTTGCCCCACATTTTTCTTGGGAAGTTTGTTTATATTTTATTCCGGTACTCTTTCTTTCTTCCTTCTCTCCTTCTACCGGTTCAAATCACACGATTTTGATTCATGATTTTAATAAACAAACTAAAATAAAATATTCTTGCAGAGTCAATTATATTATTATCATTATTACTTAGAATTAACTATAGTATGAAGATTATGAAAACCGGAATATGAGATTCTAGGGCTCAACTGTTCCTCCTTGGACTCTAATTTTAACTCTTAGCAGATCTTCAATTCACTTTCTTGCCTGATTGGAATTTTTCCTGGCAGCTTATAAGATTATTGATTACTCTTCCTCAGCTGAAACGCAGTCGTTTCCAAGCTTCTTCATTGATCATCAGGTTAGCTGAATTTCTTGCTCCTTCATCTGTTTGTATGTGTTTATTTATGCCTCTAGTTAAATACAGTAATAATTGCTGCTTAGAAAACTCAAGAAATTTAAGAAAAGTGAGTTTTTTTTCCCTTTTCCTTGGTTGTGGATTTTTTTGTGGGTGATTTGTGTTTTTTTTTTTTTTTGCTTGGTGAAAGACATTTATATACTGATTTACGGGAATAATTGAAGAGAAATCTGGGTTGGAGTTTAGTTAAATTTTGGATTAGGCGATTGAAATTTCAGGTTTTTAGTTTTGAAACGAGCTCTTTTAAGGTAGATAATATGAGGACAGGATCGTTATAGGATTACATGATGCATTTTTTGGATCCGTGAATTTGATTACTTTTGTCATTTATGAATAATTTATGCTTTTTTTGTGAATTTGATTAATTTGTTTTAATTGTTTGTTAGCTGAATTTCTTGCTCCTTCATCTGTTTGTATGTGTTTATTTATGCCTCTAGTTAAATACAGTAATAATTGCTGCTTAGAAAACTCAAGAAATTTAAGAAAAGTGAGTTTTTTTTCCCTTTTCCTTGGTTGTGGATTTTTTTGTGGGTGATTTGTGTTTTTTTTTTTTTTGCTTGGTGAAAGACATTTATATACTGATTTACGGGAATAATTGAAGAGAAATCTGGGTTGGAGTTTAGTTAAATTTTGGATTAGGCGATTGAAATTTCAGGTTTTTAGTTTTGAAACGAGCTCTTTTAAGGTAGATAATATGAGGACAGGATCGTTATAGGATTACATGATGCATTTTTTGGATCCGTGAATTTGATTACTTTTGTCATTTATGAATAATTTATGCTTTTTTTGTGAATTTGATTAATTTGTTTTAATTGTTTGTAGCAAGGCATGGAAGTGGTTTGAGAAGCTTACTGGTTAATTCATTATTATTATTTTTGTTTACTTTCATTACTATTGGCCACATGGAATGGGAGGTTTAAGGAAAAATATGGGCCCAGCATAAATTATGATCACCACTCAAAATTCAGATAGAACTTGGCGAATAGGTACTTTATGTCACGAATTTTGTAGTAAAGTTCCCTTTTGTCGTGGCGTCCAGCGGCCTTCTGAGAATGGAGGAATTATTTATTATTAAGTTTCATTTTATTGAGGGGATGCATATTTATTGCGCCTCGTGGACTTTCTTGTTATGTTTTCCGACAGTTATGCCAAATGTTTTGTGCTTTCAAGAATTTAATACGTTAGAAGCTCGTGGGAATTGCAGGCAGTGTATCTTTGATTCCGTTTTTGTTTTTGCCTTTTGGGTTTTTGATTAGTCATCTTATCGACTGACGTGTATGTTCAAGATTCTAATACTTCTACAGTTGTTCTTCCCTTTTCCTAGTCAAGCATGGTGGTACTTTTCTGCCCTTTGTGATGCTAAAATAGGAGTACTTTTCACAGATGTATGGAATTATTTAGCAAGTGTAAATTAGGAATATTAACTTGGCAAACATAAATTGTGTCCATGGAAATTTTTAGGTCCAAGCAAGATGTGTTAACGTGTGAAGAAGGTTACACGTAGGTTCAGTTTCTGAGGCTTTCAATTGCCAGCGCCTTATCATGCATCTTGTTAGGTCTTCTTTTTCCTTGATATTTTCTTCTGGGTGAGATTACTCAAAGTTCTTGTTGTAGTGCCAATAAAAATGGTTATATCTCCTAAAAAATCCCGATAGAGTTTGTCTTGTCTATGAATTTTCGAGTATTCCTGTCCTTTCTGTTGTTTTCTTCTCCAACAGAAGAGTGTATGATTCAGTGGGTTTCTTCCTTTTTATCCGTTAGTTGCTCCTGGAACTGAATAGGTGGTAGTTGTTGTCAGATCATGTCGACTAGCAGTATAGCGTCCACCTAGCTTACCTGGTTATGAAGTATTGACATGACGCATCTAATTGTTATGGAGGTATGTACCTGCTAATCATGCTGTGTTCATCCCTGTATGTTGAGGTTCACTGTTCTATGCTTTTCAGCCTCTACCAAATACAGGGGTTCTTGTAGATTTCAGAATAAAAGTCAAATTTCGGGAGATACGAGCTTAGCCTGCAACTTGTGTTCTAGGGTAAATTAATCAGCTGGGATATGTAAATATCCTGCCTCATTTTTTGTCCGTTTCCCATTACCACTTTAATAAGAGAATCGGCTTAATCTTGCCTGCTGACTCTCTCAAATGGTGATTGAGGAATTCTGTTCTATTCTTGTCTCTCATGAGAAAGCTGAGCAGTTCTTGTGTCATAAACTCTAATTTTCAGAATTTGGTAGCACTAACTATCTAGGGCATATTTCAGGTTTCGATATGAAACCTAGGCATCTTTGGGATTCCAATATTGTATGTCTGGAGCCTGCCTCATCTCTATTGACCCTAATTTGTCAAGGCTCCTGGAAAGGAAAGAAAAAGATACTAGCACAAAAACAAAAAGGAAAGAGAAGTGAAAAAAGTAGTGTCTGTATATCTGTTTGGATTGGATATGGAAGGAAAAGAAAGGAAACCTAACTATGTTGTTTGGAAAAAGGACAGATAGGAAAGGAAAGGAATTAATACTATAGGCTAATCAGCAAAATGGTTACACATACCTTCATTTCTGTCCACTCTTGAACAGGAATGAAACTTGAGTAATGGTGTAATCTTATCCCTTGCTTTCACTCCTCAAAAATCATTCCAAGCACAAAAAGTTTATCCCTCTTTTTCCTTTCCATTCCTTTCCTCCTATTCTTTCAAAACAGATGGTGCCTAAATCTACAAATATTGTCTCGTGAAACATGTAAGATTATTGTAGAACATTGCATTGCCGATTAAACTTTTCTTGCAAGATATTCCTTCTTTCTTCTAAATGGTCGTGTATTGGGTGAAGAAGAAACCAGATGTTGAATTTAGTTTTGCTGCTTAGTTCGCCTGGCTCATTTTTTCAGATTTTAAATTCCAATTAACTGAATTGGTTGGGTGAGGTTTTTGTTGAACTTGTTTTCACAAATTAGCGTCACTTTGGATTTTCTGAGAGCAAATTAATCAGATAAACTTGGTGTACCATCTATATTCTGTTCCCTTGAAGTGTACGTTGGCATTGCTGTCAGTTCTCAGTTTCTCTTTTGATTTATGCCAGCTATCAAAATATTTCAAAATGATAATTAGAGAGTTCTAATGCTGTATTGCTTTTGCAGAGTTTATATTGAGGACAGCTTTTAGACATTTATGATAGAGGGTAGCCAGTTTAATGCTCGAAATTAAGAAGAATACACTTTAATCTCTAAAGCTGATGGAGCACAGCTAGCATCATTGGCCTCTGAAAGGTAGGTATTAGCACTATTATGCACGCACCATTTACTTGCAGAAGCTGTCATCTGGGAGTCCTGTTATTAGAGTATCAGCTGATGTATTTCTTTGCTGTCAGTATCGATTCTTTTGGCCAGTATGTTTGTTCCCTTGAGTTACTGACTTCAACTTTTGACATATTTTTATTGCTCTTTTTGCAGGTCCAGACTACTCACATGAGTTCGTATTGTGCAGATTTTGATCAATTTTGTTTGCTTTAATTCCTCAAGGCATCAACATATTGCTATTCCCTGCTGCTGAAATTTGTAGTTGAGGAACGTCTATTTCTAAATCATGCCATCTCTTCAGCTTTTACAGTTAACTGAGCATGGCAGAGGCCTATTGGCCTCAAGAAGGTATGGAATATGGTGCTATTCCATTTTTAGTGCACAGAACTCTTATTCAATGTTGACTGGTTGTGATCCTGGTAGCGAATGTGTGAATGAAGAGCTTTGCTTTGTTCTAAGTCTTCAAAAGTTGGTTCTGTATTCATCATTGTTCCTTTAATTTCCTGATTAGTACATCTTTTGGTAGACTTTGACTGATAGAGGTGTAAGCCTGGTACTGATTGGCATACCACTTGGTAATGTTACATGTTTATTTACAACTTTACTCTTGAGGCCCAAAATATAAGAATTTTATGTGTTTGTTTTTTGAGCTTTGGCTAAAACTAGTTTGACTGTGGTCGTGAGACATGAAGATCTGCGCATAATTTCTGTTTCTGCAGATTCAATCTGCCGCTGGTTAGCTTTGCTCCATAACTGCGTCATCAATTTAGTGAACAATCTGAAGTTAATTACTTGCGTATTCTGTTAATAGTTCATGTCATCTTCTGTGCTTTGATTGTAAACTAGCTACCCAAAAAAATCATTTAGTAAAAAGCACAGACCTAGAGTTTCAATTTCCATTTAAATCCTTATACATGGTTGTCTTGAAACTTGGCATGATGGGAGAGGATTACGGTTTGCCAGATGTAAATTTGCATCCAGGAATTGGTTATTCTAGAATCTGGCTACATGCATAATGAGCAAAGATGCATTAGGATATGCATGTTGTAGATAAGGTTGATTGTAGCTTGAGAATGTCAGAGACCTCTTCAAGAGGTACAAGAAATTGAGAAGTGAGAGGAGTAGTGGAATGAGGGTGCTAACGCTTCTTGTTGACAATCAAACGAGCAGATTGGGATGGTCCTTTGCAGTGATGGAGGAGTTTGCTCAAGTATAAGGTGCTATAGTTTTGAAATGAATATGTCATTTAAAATCCTGGATAATTTTACGAGTATACACTAAGTGCCTACTGATCATTTTTAAAAATATAAAAAGCTTGTGGATGTATAAGTTTTAAACTGCAGCCCACATTTCTTTCCCCTGGAGTAATGATTTATAAGCTGTATATTCAGATATTGGTCTGTTAAAGTTGAACTTGGGTATATTCACAGTTAAAAGACTGGCTCTGTATTGACAATTGACACTTTTTCCCAAGGTTTTGACCTTTATACTCGCCACTGGTAGCGCAATTTTTAGTGGGTCTTCTTTGAGTAGCTTTCTTTTAAAGAAAACTTGAACGGTGCGTCTTAACGATTGTCTAGTAGAACCATTGCTTGCTGCACCTTTGTTTAAGGTGAAATGTTTGAAAGTATATTCCTACCAAAGAGGGTTAAAGAATTAAAATGGGTCTTCCGGTACACAAGAAATTGGAAGATAACTCTCTTTCTGTCAATTGTGAATATGTTATCCTCCCTCTCCCATCTTACTGTAAAGGAAGAAGGTCTTGGCACTTGAGCAACCCTATATAAAAACAAAATTTAGTGCTTGAAAGGGCGCAAAAGCAACTTGATGGACACAACAGTTTGAAGATGCTTCCATGAGTAATTTTGCCCTCAAATGCTGCTAGTGCATATATCAGATGCAATGTCAAATTAAGTATTTAAAGGTCCGAAAGGGAAGTCTTTATTGTACCATTGACTACCTTCAGAGATGATTTTTACATATTTTAACTTGTACAATCCCTGAGTGTTGTGCAATGTCTCATAAAGATGATGGCCACATCTGGATTGAAGCTCTTTATAAAAATAATAAGCAATTCCTAGTTTAACTTTTCAGATTATAACTGGTGGTCACATACTTTTTTGACCAGTTTCTAGCAATTCTTTGTTATAATCAGATTCTTCTGTTGTTTTGAGGTTTCTACACCAGTCTATTGTTTCTGATTCTTTCCATGTGAGCCAAACTGCACCGTTTCTTCTGTACTTTTGTTGGTTGCATGCTTCATGGTTATTTTCTTAAGCAGTGGTGTGTTGGGTTCAGTGAGAATCCAATGTCGATTCTGGCTGTTGTTTCTGATGAACTAATTTTTCTTAATATTATTTATTAGTTTGTGAGAAGTGGAAATGGGATCAGAATTATGACATATTGGTAAAACTTCTTAGATTTTAGGAACATGGTAAATGGTTAGCGTGGTTATTAACTTAAGCTGTGTACTGAGATGTTTCCTGGAGTTAACCTACTACAGACTTTGTAACTCCTAAGCAATACCTCTGTTGATGCAGTCTTCGCTTTACTGGTTTGCTCATTCATTTTGCAGATTTAACCTTTTTGGCTCTTCATAACTTTAACATTTTTGGCATCTTCTTACAGGAAATCTCTACTGGTTGCAGCTGGTATTGTTGCCGCTGGTGGGACTGCTGCCGCATACATGCACTTGCGAAGCACTACTAAACAGCATAGTTCTTTGGGTCATTACGATGTACTGACTAACAGCGAAGTTCAATCAGAGAAAAAGGATGGGAAATCTAGTGTTGTGAAAAAGAGTAGGCAAAAGAAAGGAGGATTGAGGTCACTCCATGTGCTAGCTAGAATCCTTTTATCCCGCATGGGACAAGCGGGTGCAAGGGATCTTTTTGCATTGGTGACCACAGTGGTGAGCTTTTCATTTTGACTATATCAATATATCATTATTTCACCACTGGGCATTTTGAATATATTTTTTCTTCCCAGCAATAAATTATTTTCTTCCTACTTTTGACCATGCTATTGTTATTGTTTCTGGGTGGATCACTGTTGGCATTTCTGGGAGTTGTTTTTCTACTGAGGGACAGTATATAACTATGTATAGTAATATGTTTTCCAAATACAAAACATAATATGTGTGTTTGTATAGGCATACAGACACATCTATGTGTTTGTCTGTCTGTGGTGTAATTGAGTTGCTTGTATATGTATTAGCAACATCCTGTTCCAGCAAATACACTCACATCTATGTATTTGTGGGGCTGTGTTGTAATTAGGTTGCATTTATTTACATTATCAACATCTGTTCCCTCTCTGATAGAAAAACTGTATATTGGAACTTTTATGAACTTTTAATTGGATCTTTAAGAACGTGTAACTTTTTACCCGAGTGAATATTTCCAATTTTTGCTGTTGGCTCTTTTAAGTTAGGGCTTCTAGAAGCAGAGATAAAGGTGCATGCGGTTTTAACATCAGTTATGCTTCGATTTATTTCAGGTCTTACGAACTGCTGCAAGCAACAGATTGGCGAGAGTGCAAGGATTCCTATTTCGTGCTGCTTTTCTTCGACGTGTACCAACATTTTTCCGTCTTATTTTTGAAAATGTCTTGCTATGTTTCCTTCAGTCAACTTTGCATTCTACCTCAAAGTACATAACAGGGACCTTAAGTTTGCGGTTCAGAAAGATACTGACAAAGCTCATCCATGATCAATATTTTCAGGTGGGCTTAGTTCTGTTGACAGATCATTTTAAAGTAACCACCCTCCATAAACTATCTGTCATCTGATGTTTTGTTTACTTCTCACCAAAAAAAAAAAGAAAAAGTGTGCACTTTTGTCTTTCTTACATGGTCTGTTTAGATACTTGAGTGTCTTGTTGGAAAAAGTTGTTGATGCAGCCACATGTAGGATGGTAGGAGTATTTGCATATATTAAAGAATCAGGGAATCTACATTTTGCTTCTGCTTTATCTTTCTCTTTTTATTTGCTTGCAATCCCATCAGGTTCTATCTGAAACCTTCAAACCAGCTAAAGGAGATGGAGTTATATCTTTTACTGAATCAAGAAGACTGCAATGGAGCAGTTCTTCCCTGTTAATTTCTTAATCTCTACATTCCTGTTTATAAGTTTCTTAGGTTGATTTCTTTGCTGCTTACTGTGATTGTTGGTGGGTTTCAGAATATGGTATACTACAAGATATCCCATGTTGATGGTCGGATAAGTAACCCTGAACAAAGAATTGCTAGTGATGTTCCAAGGTTCTGCTCAGAGTTGAGTGACCTTGTACAGGAGGATCTCATTGCTGTTACTGATGGTCTACTTTATGCTTGGCGATTGTGCTCATATGCTAGCCCAAAATACATCTTCTGGATACTGGTAATTATCATGTTTAGACTCTTTTTGCTTGTATAATTTGATCATGCCTTTGCTGCTAAAGCCATTTCATAGCTCATCTGCTTGTGTTCTTTCACATCAGTCTCGTAGTTATCACCAAAGTGGAGAAGTTTACTGTTTCTGTGCTACTTTCCAGGCTTATGTCTTGGGTGCAGGAGCGATGATACGAAACTTTTCGCCTGCATTTGGGAAACTAATGTCCAAAGAACAACAATTGGAAGGGGAGTATAGGCAGCTGCATTCACGATTGAGGACACATGCCGAAAGCATTGCATTTTATGGTGGTGAAAATAGAGAAGATTCTCATATTCAACAGAAGTTTAAGAATCTGGTTCGCCATATGAGTGTGGTCCTTCATGATCATTGGTGGTTTGGCATGATTCAGGACTTCTTATTGAAGTATCTTGGTGCTACTGTTGCTGTTATCCTGATTATTGAGCCCTTCTTTTCGGGAAAACTAAGACCTGACTCTTCAACTTTAGGTCGTGCAGAGATGTTAAGTAATCTAAGATATCATACAAGTGTCATAATATCACTGTTCCAGTCCCTTGGCACTCTTTCCATAAGTTCAAGAAGGTTGAACCGTTTAAGGTATAAAATGAATTGTTTTTGATGTTTTGTTGAAATTTTGTAAGGTAGGCGTCATTTTCACAAAATTCAAAAAAGAGCCATGTTTTATAGGCCTACTGCTACGTTTGGGTGCACAGGACTGTAGATTGCATGGGGCCTAAGTTTTTTGCATTTTTGCTATGCTCAGTTGGGAATCTTTATAACTAAAATAGCTCTCAAATTTGCTTTTTGTATGAAAGTTCTTACATAATAAATTCAAGATGAGCTCATAGCCCTTCTATCCTTGACAGTGCCATTTGTTGACCTATGGTAGACTTGTAGTAATAGAAGAACAATCACTACATTAGTTGCAATAAAAGCAAAAAAAGAAACAAGGGGGAAATGGGGACAAAATGATGCTGCATTGGTTGCCATGCACCTGCAACATTTGTAATTGGAATTTGATGATGGTGTCGTAGTTATGTTGAAGAGCACAATAAGCTAGTTGTAATAGTACAATATTCTGCATTTTAGTCTAGAAGGGGAAACTGGGAGGAACTGAATGTGGTAGTGTTGTCATGGACATGAAACTTTTGCATTATTTGCTTGGTGTGGTTTTAGCTTGTGCTTTTGGTGTTTGGAAATCATGGAAAAAGAAATCATGTACTGAGTAGCTCCTCTAATTTTTGCAGTGGGTATGCAGATCGCATTTATGAACTGATGGCTATATCTAGAGAACTTGGTCCACGTGATGTATCTTCTTCACAAACAAATGGGACCAAGAATTATGTTAGTGAAGCAAATTATATTGAGTTTGACAATGTCAAGGTAATTTTGGTACATATATACTTTTTTTTGGGTGCTTCGGAATCATATTTTCTATGTCCTCAAGCATCGTAAAAACTTACAGGTTGTTACTCCAACGGGTAATGTGTTGGTGGAGGACTTGTCTCTAAGGGTTGAAACAGGATCTAATCTTTTGATAACAGGTACTTGTGATGAAACTGTTTTATTTTGTTTCAAGTGCCTGTTGCACTTCCTCTTATTGTGTTCTTTAAGCATAGTGTAGTTGGCTAATGTTTCAAATGGTACAAAGAATAGGACTCCTTGGCTTTAAATGTTTTATCTTTTTGTTGTCCCACTTCTAGATGGTAGAGGCAATATGCATTTGTTCTGTTAGAGTTTTGTTTAGGCATCACTGTTGCTTTTCGCTTCACTTATTTTACTAGATGTTAATCAGGTTTTATGTCTCCTTTGATCGTTGTAGTTCAATTTATTTTTAGGAGTAATTTAATGTTTTAAACTTGATATGTGATGTCTGCATTTGAATGCATATATAATTATCTATATTTCAGTCTGATTCAAGTTAAAATCTAGTCAATGCATGCTGATACATCCTTTTTGTTTCATATGAATTTATACTGAGGTCCTCCTTACACTTGGTATCAGAAAGCTTGGTTTAGGGCCCTTAAAATGTGCCTTCCTGCTGGGGTCCTAGAGAGCGTTGCTGAGGGCCAGCAAAGACTGCATTCTTGATTGTTCTTTTAATTTGTAGTGAAAGGTTGTTGGCTGCTTGATTACCCAGTACATCGCCTATCCATTGTAGTCTCAATCACTCTCCATAAACATTGAAAAACTGCTGGTTCAAAATCTATTCTTTCTGTAACAAGTATAATTAAAAGCAAGGTTAGGTATCTCTGTCTCCCAGTCAGAATGCTTGAATAGTCCTGGAATTTTCCGCCAATGAATTGGTCTTTTAGAGCTCGCTTGATAGTGGATTTTCTTTATTTGTATCACTCAAACGATAGCTTTTATATAATTTGTACATTCATATACTCGAAATCAGTTCAGCATTTGGAATTTTGGGCTAATGGTTTTCTATATGTTGATGAGTTACTAACTTATGTGGATCCCTTCTTGCTCTGCTACTTGGTCGTCATTTCATGCAACTTCTGAGAAGTTGCATTTCTGACTTCTGAATGTTACCCTTTAGAGTCTGCTTATATTTTGACTTTTACACACTGTTATTCTACATGAATGACCTCTCGAATTATATCTTTTCTATAGTTTGTACTTCTATACTTTCCGAATCAGTTAATAGGTGGATATTTGAGTTGATGATAATCTCTTTGGTAGCCGCTTTCTATGTTATATACGGATCCCTTCTTCCTCTGCTACTTAGTTGTGATATCATGCCTTCTTAGAAAATTTGCATTTTGGGATTCTTAATGTTACCATTTGGAGCTGCTTATGTTTGAAATTTATAACTCCTAATTGTTTTACATGAAGGACCAAATGGTAGTGGCAAGAGCTCACTTTTCCGAGTTTTAGGAGGCCTCTGGCCGCTAGTGTCAGGACATATTGTTAAACCTGGAGTTGGTTCTGATCTTAATAAAGAAATCTTCTATGTGCCACAACGACCATACACAGCTGTCGGAACTTTACGAGACCAGTTAATCTATCCTCTTACTGCAGACCAAGAGGTTGAAACTCTGACACGTGATGGAATGGTTGATCTACTGAAAAATGTAAGAGTTTGTTTAAACCATGCGTGAGGTGATCTTCTGTAAGGTTATTTAATCATCTGATAATTGTTGATTTGAAGAATTTTATTTGGGTTTTGATCAAGTGCAATCTTTCTTCATTCTTCAGGTTGATCTTGAATATCTGTTGGATAGATACCCGCCTGAGAAAGAGGTAAACTGGGGTGATGAATTATCTCTAGGGGAGCAACAAAGGTTGGGAATGGCTAGACTCTTTTACCATAAACCCAAATTTGCTATTCTTGATGAGTGTACCAGTGCTGTGACAACTGATATGGAAGAACGCTTCTGTGCTAAAGTTCAAGACATGGGAACGTCGTGTATAACAATATCACATCGTCCTGCACTGGTTGCATTCCATGATGTAGTCTTGTCTTTGGATGGTGAAGGAGGCTGGAGCGTTCACTATAAGAGGTAGCAAAGTTGACAAATATTTCTCCATGCAAGGTTTTGGTTTGTTTCTAGAATTTGGCTTATCGGTGTTAAATGAATTCTACAGGGCAGATTCTCCAGCTCTTGCTGAATCTGAGTTCAATAAGCAGAAGCACTCTGAAACAGACCGCCAAAGTGATGCAATGACAGTTCAACGTGCTTTTGCCAACAAAAGAAAGGTCTTTGAGTTTTAGCATCTTGTATGTTATTATTTACTGGTCTGAGTTTTAATTTATACCATGTTAACTTCCTTTTTTTCTTTTTAGGATTCAGCATTTTCGGATTCAAAGTCTCAATCATATTTTCCTGAGCTGTTAGCAGCATCTCCAATTGAAGATAAGTGCCCACTCCCTCTCTTTCCGCAACTGCAAATTGTTCCTACAGCATTGCCTCGTAGAGTAGCTGCTATGTCTAAAGTTCTGGTGAGTGAAGCTTCTTTGCCTGCCATGAAAAAGTATCATGTGCTACTTTGTTATTGGAATATGTCTTCACTTTTTATTTTTTCTTGTGATTCGGGGGAGGGGTGTGGTGAATTTGCTCTCTTGCAGTTTCTTAACGTGTTGAAATACCTATCGTTTTCATGGAAATGGACTGCATTTGGTTAGAAAAGTTTTGCTGTGATGATTGGTAGCCTGATATGCTTGCCTTGTATTAGTTACTACAGTTTGTTATTAGCCTGATATGTAGGCTTTAGATTAGTTGCTATAACTTACTTTAAACACATTTTCTATCCTAAAAGTGCGGGAGAGAGCGACATTTAGTTAGTTTCCAAAGGCGTTGACTTGGAGGTTTGGATTCTACAAGTGCTCTGCACATGTGGCATCAAAATTGGCTTCTAACACCATTTGACATGGATGAGCATGTTAATGTGGAAAAAACAATGATGTACTGAGAAGTTGTGTAACTGATAGCTATTGATTATTCCCGGCTCAGAGACATGAAAGAGCAGATTAGCGAGTTTGGTGGGATGTGGATGCCCATATTTTATGCTGTTAAAATATTAAATTTGCTGTGTGTATTCTTTTGAAAGAAGCTCTTGAAACTGCAAACATGATTTGAAATTGGTCAGGATTTATTTAATAGCTAAGCTGGAAAGCTTGCTTTAAAATGACTGAATCTCTGTGGCTTGTCATTTAATGACGGACTAGGATCCTAGCCCCTAAAAGACCTGTAAAATAAAAACAAAAACAAAAAATTTGAAAGTAAAATGTTTAAATTGGTTAGGTAATGCTCTACTATTCTAATTTCATATTTTCTGCTTTTGCAAGTGGTTCTTATGACCTCCTGATGGTTATAATGAACTTGCTGGAAAACATGGTAGCATGTTTTTCCCTGACATCAACGAGGAGTTTTTCTTTGCATTCACTCTTCCTATATGTATATTCATTGTTATCCTACAAATGAATATATTTTCTCTAATTGCTTTCGCTGACCAGCTTGTTTTTCATCTTTCTATAATTTTTCCCTGGTGTAGGTTCCCACGTTGCTTGATAAACAGGGGATACAGCTTCTTGCAGTTGCTGTGCTTGTGGTATCTAGAACTTGGATTTCTGATCGCATTGCCTCTTTGAATGGTTATTATTTCCTTTTTTGGTTCTATTTAGCTGCATCACATCTCCTGTTGCTACTTTGCTATGTTTGTTTCTGTGTCTTCTGTTTTTGTGTTATTGCACCAATAAAAGGGGAGACTAGGACATGTTACTTAACTTTCAGAAACCGTTATTTACAGGGACAACTGTTAAGTATGTGTTGGAGCAAGATAAGGCATCCTTCATTCGGTTGATTGGTGTCAGCATCCTCCAAAGTGCAGCATCTTCTTTTATTGCACCATCTCTAAGGTATCTTTACGTCCTTTATGGGCTTCTAATCACATCGTGCAATTGCTATTTTTCTTCTTAGTTAAGAAAAACTGGATAATTTCATGGTAAATTTTGAACTTACAGTCGGTGACAAGGCAATCTTGGATTTTTTTTTGGGGGGTCAAATAAAACATAAAGAGGCTTGGTACTCTTGACTAGTTTTCTTTTGGTGGGCAGTAGTTCTACCTGCTTGTTTGGTGCTCGGTATAGGTTAATGTTGATACTATTGTTGCAATTCATGTTTGGTTTTCTCTTAATAGCTTGAGAGGGTGGGGGAGCTCTTTAATTTTTATTTTGAAGAAATCCTTCTGGAAATGCTTAGGATTAATGGACCCTTCTTTTAATAGGTATAAGAAAGGATATGCAGGCACTATTAACTTTCAGTCTTTAAATATGTTTCCCATTTTCTTTAATACTTTGTCATCTGTGCAAAATGGTTGTAAGAACCTATTTAGTTAAGCCACATAGTACAAACATTAGTACTGCTGCGGTAGAGGAAGAGATATACAAATGCCATGCTCAATAGTGTACTCTTCTAGTAAGTGGACTACTCTCTGAGTTCACATTTTGCATTAGGAGAAATCTGTATTTTTTTTTTAAATTATCAGAAGAGTCCACTGAATAATTTGATCTGGCAAGCCATCCTTTTTGCTGTTCACTTGGGACCCTTTGAAAGGCTAAATATTGCAGTGTCTAAACTTTTATGCTATATTTTTTTGGTCATTTTGTAAAGAGTTCTAGAAGATAACTATTTTATCAATAGCTTTAAAGAGGTAATGGCCTTCCTGAATTGTGTCTTTTGTCTATAGGCACTTGACGTCAATGCTGGCTCTTGGGTGGAGAATACGCTTGACCAAGCATTTGTTAAAGAATTACTTGAGGAAGAATGCATATTATAAGGTAACGAAGTTAACTTTATCAGTTTCATTTGAGCCAATCAACACTTAGAATTATCTAACATATTTCCAGCATCTACTGATGTCCTTTTGGGACTTGGAGGTTTTGTCCAACCATATTCTGTTCTTTCGCCATTAAACTTTCGGTAAATAGCCAAAACTTCAAGTTTCAGTGCTCAAAACTTTGAAGTTGCTGGCATTTTGATTCTGTCCCTTTCATCTGTTTGATTTGCCATTATGACATATCTCACAGATTTCCTTTGCTATCAAAATGATGTGTTCTTCGTTTAGTTGTATCTGAGTGAAGTTCGTACGGGGTGCTTCTTTTAATCGGTAACATGTTTACGGGATTGAGCCATCTTGAGTTTGAACACAACAACTCACTCATCAGTATGTGGCATAATGGTCTCATTTCTGCAAGTCTACTCAATCCTGTCTATCTCTATTTCTATAACTTTGAATGGGCCAGGGTGAGCAATTTTGACATCATGGCCTGTAATCATTGATGATATTTGACTTAGACATGATGGTTGGATGGCTTTTAGTTTGGTATCAACCTTTTTACCGCCTGCAATTATTCTGTTATGCTCAAGAAACAATATTTCATTTCAGTAGATCTTTTACAAAGTCAAGGTTTTATCTAGCTGTTGAAGGTTCTGATCTTCCTTTTCTCGTGTGGTTCTAGTCTCTACCCTGTCATGCATCATAGATCTTGGGATAATATAGCTTGCTTCTGTCTTATTGTTCAGAAGTTTGATGCTCCATAAGTGGGTGAAAATGACTCAAAAGAAACTTTGCAGGTGTTTCACATGTCCTGCAAGAACATTGATGCAGATCAAAGATTAACACAAGATCTAGAGAAATTAACGACTGACCTGTCTGGCTTAGTTACTGGCATGGTAAAGCCTACTGTCGACATTTTGTGGTAAGTACATGCAAGGCATTGTACTTTATTAATGAAATGTTCCTGCAAGAACTTGATGAATTAAAGAAATGTTTCAGGTTCACGTGGAGAATGAAGCTATTAACTGGTAGAAGAGGAGTTGCTATTCTATATGCTTATATGTTATTGGGTTTGGGTTTCCTAAGGATTGTGACTCCTGATTTTGGTGACCTGGCAAGTAAAGAGCAACAGTTGGAAGGAACCTTCAGGTCACTCGATGACTTATTTTCTGCTTTCACATACATGTCTCTCATAAATTAGCTTTAATTGTGAGTTGTATTATAATTTTGAATTTGTTCATTAGGTTCATGCATGAGAGACTTCGTACACATGCTGAATCTGTTGCTTTCTTTGGGGGTGGTGCTCGAGAAAAGGAGGTAATTGCTTTGTTTGATATTATATCAGACAAATTTTTCTGGAGTTCAGTGTGTGGTTTCAACGTAGTTAAATTATATGTAAATTCTCCTCTTACCAACTTATGTTTGGGTGAGAATATGGAATCCCTGATGCATGAGTTGCCTTTGCAAATTTAGCTGATCACTTAATTTTTCATTAATATGAATGCAGTTTCCTTCATTTATTCCTGTAAACGATCTGATGCTAAGAGGGAAGAACTGGTTAAAAGTTTAAATTTCCCTGGTGCCCTATGAGAGTTGGTCATTGTGTGATGTGAATCCTAGTATGATGAATATTGTGCTTGAAGGGTATCTAATTGAGAGAACTTTTTGTCTATATTACAGAGTGGTACCTGAAGACTTTCTCTTTCTTACACGGAACATTTCTTTTGTGATATCCTGTTTCTCTTGTAAACTGTTATCTTTCAAAACATCTTATCCATCTTGCTATTATAAACTTTAATTGTTAGCTTTTTTGACCTCTTTACCACCTTGTTTGGCCTCCTTCGACTTCTTTTTGTCAAAGTTTCATCCTTTGTGAAGCACCGTGGCTAGAGAAGCTATATGTAGGCTTGGAGATAGCTAGCGAATCTTATTGACTTGGGGTCCTTTAAGAAATACTCAAGTTGGTTTAAATATTTCAATTTTGCCTCCTATTATCATTTTTTTTGCTAATTTTCAAGGTACTTGCAAAGCTTTTTATCAGAGTTGTTTGTTGTTTGTTCCACAATGTGCTCCTGCCTGATGTGCTTGCTGCGTTCTTTCATGGACACAGTAGCCTAGCCTCTGCTGATCCTTAAATGTCCCTTGTCCTCCTCAGATGGTTGAATCGAGATTCAGGGAACTTCTTTACCATTCAGCATTGCTTCTTAGGAAGAAATGGCTGTTTGGTGTACTGGATGACTTTATTACAAAGCAACTTCCACATAATGTGACTTGGGGATTAAGCCTGTTGTACGCTCTGGAACACAAGGGTGACCGAGCCTTGACTGCGACCCAAGGTGATAATATTTTGGTGATACCCTTGAAATCCTATAATTAGATATATAGGAGGAATTTTGATATAATATCATATGTATTTTACAGGAGAGTTGGCACATGCATTGCGGTTCTTAGCGTCAGTTGTGTCTCAGAGCTTTTTAGCTTTTGGTGACATTCTTGAGCTTCATAGAAAGTTCCTTGAGCTTTCTGGTGGCATCAATCGAATATTTGAGCTGGAAAAGCTTTTAGATACTGCTCAAGACGGTGTGTGTTTATTCTTTTTGTCAGCTTTCATGATCTTGGCATCATCTTGCTCATAGTGCAGCAGTTGAAATAAGAACATGTGGTGCAAACTATTTGAAAATTTTTCATGATTGTTCTCAAATGTGTAGTGATTTTCATTTGTTCTATCTTGCTAGAGTTGTTCGTTTGTTTAATTTTGCCAGTTGATAATATTAAATGCCACCTAGCCTTTTTCTACCCTGAATAATATTTAAGCAAGTTAGTTACCTCAAAAAATGGAAAAAATCTTTTAGCTCTGAGTATGTAAATGACATATGAGTAGATGAATTATTTGGCATTACTTTGTTACATGCATGTCTTGAAAACAGATGTCCCTTGCTGTTTAAGTCTGAAACATCAGGCTATTATCCACTGAGGGACTTCCATGAGATGGCTGTTAGCATTTAGTGGCAGGTTTATGAGCCAGTTGTCAAATCCAAGTGCTTAGGATTGGTCGATTTTTGTATTATTCTATTTCTGCTGTCTCTGGGTTATGTAAAGGATTATCGATGTTTTATGACAAAGTCGGTCTTCATGCAGGGGAATCTTTTTCGAGCTCTTCATTGCCATCTCTAGAGACAGAACCTCTGTCAGATGATATCATTTCTTTCTCCGGGGTAGATATAATTACTCCAGCACAAAAAGTGATGGCTAGGCAGTTGAACTGTGACATTGTGGCGGGCAAAAGCCTTCTTGTTACTGGTTGGTGGATTGCTCTATTGTGATTGCATCTGGATGTATATACCAAGAAGCTTTTATTCACTTGCTGTCTCTTAAAATTTTTGAAGGTCCAAATGGAAGTGGGAAAAGTTCCGTCTTCAGAGTTCTTCGAGGTCTTTGGCCGGTTGTTAGTGGAAAGCTGGTTAAACCAACTCAACAGGTCAACTCTAGATCTGGTTGCAGTATCTTCTATGTTCCTCAGCGCCCATATACATGCTTGGGAACCCTAAGAGATCAAATCATATATCCTCTATCACAAGAGGAGGCAGAAAGAAGGGTTTTATACTCAATAGATAAAGGTGATTGAATGAGTTATTGAACTACACATTAGTAGCTTATCTTTTTGGCTTGTATTCTGTATGATTGGTAGTGATAGTTAACAGAGGTCACTATGCCATGCCTGCCACCCAACCTGCAATTTTAGGTTGGATTTCTTCTGCTTCTTTGGTGGTAAAAGTTTTCAGAAACCAGCTATACATTTGTAGTCTGACAGTCCTATCCAAATGTGATACTCAGAAATTAACTTTGGCTGTGGGGAACTAATTAGGAATGTGTCAAAGGTATTGTTATGGTATCATATATTTCATGATAGTAATTTCAATGTGTATAAAAGTGCTAGTTAAAGCTAGATTAGCAGAAAATAATTGGGGCCAGCTTTTGTAGAGGCTGTCATATCATTGAATTCTAACTGTTTTATCAAATAGTAAAAAATCCATACTTGTGAGGTGGGTTGAGAAAATTTTATTTGAAAGGATAAGTAGGAGGATAATTAGTGTTGCTTAGTCCTGATGCATTGTTATTTTACTGATTATGTTGGCTACTACAATCTTATTTTTGAGTATATTTTGTAAATTCTTAAACTAAGATCAGGAAGACCAATCTGTGGTTAGATATGGGGTTGGCATAACTAGTTAAATTTTAATTGATTAGGCTTGAGGTTTTTGTCAGAAGGAGACGGATGGGCTTCATTTAATATGCTTGTGGATACTCGAAATTAAGAGCTGATAGCATGCATACCTCCTTCCTGTAAATCCTTCCCAGATGTTGTATACTAAGTCTCAAGTCACTTCTATCCATCATTCTCCTAAAGTCATCAGCTTCATTCTTACGTGCTGCATTCTTGCTTCTTGATAACATAGTTATTTTGAATTCCAGGTCAAAAGCTTGTGGGAACTGCTAAAATTTTGGATGAACATTTAAAATCTATACTCGAAAACATTAAACTAGTCTATCTTCTGGAAAGGGAAGGTGGCTGGGATGCTAACCAGAATTGGGAAGACATCTTATCCCTCGGTGAACAGCAGAGATTGGGCATGGTGAGCTGAAACAGGGACTAATCCATAATTAATAACGTTCACTAAGCCCTCTTTTGATTCGCCTATCTGTGCTTGTTTTTGGGTTATTGCTTTGTTTTTGACATTGCTTTTTTCTGTTACAAGGCACGCTTATTTTTTCACAAGCCACGATTTGGAATACTTGACGAGTGCACCAAGTAAGCTGAAAGAATTTGTTATATTCTTTTCTTGTGACAAAGAAACTTGTGATCATCTCATAGTAATTTTCTGTGCAAATTACAGTGCTACAAGTGTTGACGTTGAAGAGCATCTTTATAGGCTTGCAAATGAAATGGGAATCACAGTTGTTACATCATCACAGGTGAGTAGTGGTTATTCTTTTCTTTTCCTCGCTCAATGAAGAGTGCATAAACAGAAAATCCCCAAGGATCTAAAGTTACCCAAATGGAACAGGCTAAGACTAAGAAATGGTATTAGCTTGTTGAAGAAGTTAAACTAGGGTTGCAGCATAAGCCTTTAACTATGATAATTAGAATTCCGCTTTAATAACTTTCATTGGAAATATGTTGATCTTGCTTTGGATGACATCTTTTTATTTCTCCTTTTAAGCTTCATTTTTATCCTTTCCTTTTGATTACTCTTTCATGTACTCTGCTCTGTGCTGGCAGCGACCTGCATTGATACAATTCCATTCGCGGGAATTACGTTTGATTGATGGTGAGGGCAAGTGGGAGCTTCGTTCCATTGAGCAATGAGAGAACGTTGCTTTCTGTCATTGCCCTTTGCCGGTTCCGATTAAATGCTGTAAATGGACGTGGCCAGTGAGGTTGGTACAAGTTCATAATGCTTCCACTAGGTTGGTAAATTTTCTAGAACAGGGTGATGACGCGAAAGGTGCACATGAAGATAACAGGTACTCCTATCAGATTCGTTCGAGGCAAAATAGGTTTTTTAAAGGGCACACTTATTATTAGTTGATATCGAGTTTAGAAAACTAGGTTTAGAATTATACAAGCATTTCATTATTAATTGTAACATAGAAGAATTATGCATAGGCTTTACTACTTGCTATGATTGGTCTATCATTTGGTTGTAAAAATTTGACGACTAATCATTTTGATGAGCCCCTATCAATATAAGTAATGGGGAAGATAGGTGTCATCTATTTGCCAATTTCTTTTAATTTTTCATTTTAGCTATGAAATACTTTAGTTTTCGATTGTTACCATTGGTCTCGACTCTCGAGTCGTGAACCTCAGTTATCTTCTTGTATTTTGGTTGCAAGGCTTGAAAAGTGTTCCAGATTGAGCCTGATTGAAGGAACTAGGCTACTTTTCTTAGTTAAATAAGTAGCCACCAGGCACACTCATCTACGTGGATATTACAGACATGCACACGCACAGTTCTACAGCTGTTGCATATTTTAGATCTCTAGACAGATTGTTTGTCTTGAATTTCTTTGGGTTGTTGATCGACTCAATCTCTTGCATGCATCTCTTACTTTATTAGTATCTTTTCCTTGGAAGGATCTGCCTGTGAGATAGCAGGGATGGAAATGGTTTAGCAATTAGGTACTTTAAATTGTAAGCAAGATAAAAGGTTTGTACGGGAAGGAATCTGAGATTTAGTTAGATTGTGCCTGGGCTTCCTTTAGTCTAAGGTCATTGTTATCTGAGATGAGTATTGGTAAGTGATGCTGCTAGTTTTTGTTATCTGGCTCGTATTTAATGGATAAGATTGATTCTTTTTTCTAGGTGAGGCTCGCTCCATTGGCTTCATTTGCCAATCTTACATAGTTAATTTGTTATACTTTATGTAAGTCCTCTCGCTATCACTGATAAGCAGTTGAGCACTTTGAAAAAAGTGTTTGTTTCCTTCCAACTTGTTGATCACTTGAAATCGAACAATATTCTTTCATTACTATATGAATCTTGGTATTAGGGAGTGTAAGTGTAAGCACTTTTTTATCTTAGTTTTTGTTATGCCTAAATTACCCTCATGTCTTTTAATTAAAATTATTGCATTTTAAAGTGGTAATAATTAAAAGAAATAAAACAGTCCCATTGATTACATCTTTATAGCATTGGTAATTATAATTAAAAATTTCTCATTAAAAACTATTTACCTACCATTGCACTCCACTCTTGGTATTAGGGAGTGTAAGTGTAAACATTTTTTTTATTTTAGTTTTTGTTATCCCTAAATTACCCTCATATCTCTTAATTAGAATATTGCATTTTAATGTGGCACTAATTAAAAGAAATAAAACACTCCAATTGATTACATCTTGATAGTATTGGTAATCATAATTAAAAATTACTCATTAAAAACTATTTACCTACCCTTGGACTCCATTTCCAATTATTATACGTATCAAAATTTCTTAATTGAAGAATGAAATATTTCTCATTAGTCGTTAGTTAAGATTGTAAAAAAAAAAAAAAAAAATCAATGTCAAAATACAGGTACTCTCTAGAAAATGAAGAAGACGAAGAGAACACTTGTTCATCTGTATATCTTCATACAAATATCACGAGCAAATTTTACAATTATGCACTCTTTGCCAATATAAAGAATTTTTCATATTGCACCCAATGGAATTTCAATATACAAAAAATGATGACATATTTATAACTTAAATAGTAGTATTAAATTGGAAAAAAAAATTGAAATAGCAATATACAAACCACTATTATCATTAATAGCAATCGATTAAAACAAGAAAAATTGAAAATTATTCATAAAATGACATAAAGTAAATAGCAAATGAATGAAAAATTTAGAATACATTTCAAATAATACTTAAGATAACATTCAAATCACTTATATCCAAGGAAAGACAAACATTATTATTGACAATAATATGGTAATGCTTCATTTGTATTGGTTTGAGCAAATCAAATCCATCCATCAAGGTAGAAACCATTTCCAATGATAAAATAAGAATTATAATAAGAGTAAATTTAAAATGAAAATTGATAAAATGAAAATGTTATCCAAATTATTTTTAGCGATGCCCAAAATACCCTTATTTTTTCTAATTATTACATATATTTATTGTATTGCAATATTAGCTAATAATGGAAACGGTTATGAAATGAAAAACTTTAAAATTAAGTAAATTTTATTTATGGTGACAATTGTAATTAGATATTTAGTGCATTTCAATAATTGATAATAATGATGGCGGTTATGGATTAAAAATTGACAATTAAAAAATAAAACACTGCAATATACAAAAAATTAATATTAAAATTGTTAATTAGCCACAATTCTCATTCCAATTCCATGATCATCAAAAAAACTAATACTAAAACCAAAAATATTGTGCTCATATGAAAAAAAGTAGACTTGTTGCTTTTGCTTTGCATTGGATTGTGCTAAAAATATGAATAAAAAAAGAAAAATAGAAAAACTCCAACTGTCTCTATTTATAAACTTTCAATTGTTAGAATGTACAAGCCAAAAAAACCTTACACCATGGATCATTTATACTCCATTATTGACAAAAATAGAATTAACATAATACAAAGAATTTAAAATTACATGTATGTTTATTTATTTTTCTAACTTAATTATATTCTTCGTTTATAAAAAATTACAATGATTGTGGCTTATATGCAATAGAATCATGAATATACAATAATTTTGGTAATACATGATATTATCAATATTTGATATGTTAGAGTTCAAACTATAAATCAAAAAGTGTTTGGTACATGATTCCAAATTCAATCCTAAAGGATATGTCAATTACATTGGAACGCTTTCTGCCTCTTTTCATTTAATAAAATTTTAAAAGTAACTAGCTTAAAAAAATAAATAACATAAAAATACTATATTATGATGTTGATGATCAAAATTTCATAAAAAACTTTTAGTATCTGAAAAATAATATATTTTAAGATATTACAATCACGTGCAAAGCACGTGAACTATTACTAGTTGTGTAAAGGGTAAATAAAGAATGAAGCCTTTTGATATCCTGTGGGTTCTTGTGCTGTAAAGCAATGTTTTCAAACCCGGACCGTCAATCGAACCGGTGAGGTGAAAGGGTCGAGATTCAACCGGTCGGACCGGTTCAACCGGGGTTCAATAAATAAATAAATAAATATATATATATATATATATAGACACACACACCTATGCATAGAATAAAATATAAATGCTGAACCACAATAAATATAAGAGCAATATCCAACAATTAACACACAATTAACATAGTTATGAAACTTACATGTCCAATTGTCTAAATATTAAAATTAACAAAAAACAATACAAGTCTAGAAAACAATCAAAAGGTCCAAACGAGCCCAATTTCTGAAGCTTCTATAATCTTCTTCATAATTCTGGGACAACAAAGCTTCAAAAAAAGCCATCTTGACAAGTCATCATCATCATCCAAGACCATTATGTGAATCACTGACAAGTGATAAAAGTATAAAATCATATTAGTTTCATCACACCAACTGATACAAATCTTAAAAATAAAAATAAAAGAGTACAAATAATTCTATGCCAATTACCATTTGAACATTTAATTCTATATCTGTCTTTTGCCTATGACCTTGGGGCTGACTTGCAGATCCCTCACTATTGAATGGTCCCCCCGGTGAACATTGTGAGTTACTACCGCTACCAGCCTCCATCCTAAAATGAGATATTTAAAAATAACTAGTCTTAACAAATAATTAATATACACAAACTGAAACAAATTATTAAAGCTAACAACCGTTTAGCACGAGTGAAGTTAATTCCCTAAGCCTTGTGCATTTCTTGAGGGTGTTAAGTATCTTCACGGTAACTGGGTTTTGCACAGAGATTTAAAGACATCAAATATACTTTTAAATAATAGCACAGAGATTTAAAGACATCAAATAACTTTTAAATAACAGCACAGAGATTTAAAGACATCAAATAACTTTTAAATAATAGCACAGAGATTTAAAGACATCAAATAACTTTTAAATAATAGCACAGAGATTTAAAGACATCAAATAACTTTCAAAGACATCAAATAACTTTCATCTGTCATGTTACTGTAGATTTTTGTATGGATTTCAAGCTAATTTTCTTCTCTGTGGCCTTAAAGATCATTGTCGTTTTGTTTTGCAGATATTCAAAATTTTTCGTACGCCTAATGACACAATCTGGTCTGGGTTTTCGAAGCTTCCAGGGGTCAGGGTTAACTTTGTCAAGCATCAGTATGTATTAGACTATTATTAGAATGCAATTCTAGTATCCAATTCTGACAGGGGACAAACAGAAGCCAGATACACACACATGCATTTGGCAGCTGAACTGTTGACTGCATAAAGAAAACAATAACAAGGAGAAAATGAATAAATGATTCAAGCAAAGCTAAAAGCCTTCTCTATTGCATTCAGACCGCTGAAATCTTGATCCAGTTGAGGAAATGGGCTTTGATTTGAAATTCTCTACTGGGGAATTTTGCAGATTTCGTCATTTGTAGTTCTGTTGAATGGTAGGACTCTAATGAAAATGAACTGGGCTGGCCGAAAATTTTAGTCTCAATAGATCTGAATTCCACTCTTTTTTTTAAAAAAAAAAAAAAAAAAGAAACTCACACTCAAGTTTGATGTTCTTTGTAAAGATCAGTTCCCTCAATCTCGAGTTTCCTATTTATTCTGAAGTAATGCTATTTAGGAAATAAGCTTTCAATAATTTTCCTATTTTCTCTCTTCTTTTAATTTCACATGCAAACTTTTTTTGTTCCATGTACTGCAATCATCAGGGCAAAAATGATCAGGTCCATGCATGGACAGTACAATCCTCCGTCGCTCTTCTTCTGAAAAAAAAAATTGTAGGGCCACAAACCCAATAATATGCTTGAGAACAGAAAGAATCACATGTATATATAGATAGAAGTCAAATCATAGCACAAACTCCACAATTAAAGGAAAAGTATAAACACAGTGATCATTCATTTCAGATGAATCATAGCACAAACTCCACAATCATTGTGAACTTTGTTAAGGAGACAATGAAGAGGTGGAACGTGTTGGCAAGTTAGTTGAAGACTTGAATGGGGAGCCTGACCTTGGAATCGGAGCAGCAGGCGGAAAAACTTCAGGCTTCAAGATTGGAGCCGCACCAGCTCAATCACCCTGCTCAGCCGCACCAGCCGCACCACCTCAATCACCCTGCTCAGCCGCACCACCCTGCTCAGCCGCACCAGCCGCACCACCTCAGCCCACAGTCGACAACGAGCACCGCCAACCAGTGGTCATCTACGCCGTTTCCCCAAAATTGATCCACACCAAAACTGATCTACGCCGTTTCCCCAAGACCGAAGCGGCGAAGTGAAGTGCGAACTGCGAACTGCGAAGAGGAAGACTGGAGCAGGAGCGAAGGCTGCGAAGTTCTGCAAAGCGAAGTTGCCGAAGTGAAGAAATGAAGAATGAAGATTAGGGATCGGTCAAAATTGAAGTTTTTGTCAATTTTGACTCAAAATTGGAAAACCGCGGTTCACGGTCCGACCCGGTTTTAAAGATTTGAACGGTTTTTTACGGTTTTGACCGGTTTCTTATAAAAGTCAACATAACCTATAGACCGGACCGGACACATGTCCGGGTCGCGGTCGAACCGGTCGACCCGGCCGGCCCGGTCCGGGTTTGAAAACATTGCTGTAAAGCCAAATCTCAGTGAACGAGCTTGTTGGGATCCTTATCTAGTAGATATGCACTGATCTATATTCTAATACGCTGCTTTTTGTCCCTGACCGTGTCAATCCTATTACCTCTCTTTTTTTTTTTTTTTGTGTGGGGGGGCGGGGGGGGGGGGGGGGGTGGGGCAGGGGGATGCCAATCTTAACAGTTAACACTACGTTGTTAAGCACAATGTTTTTGCCTTTATGCGATCTTGTGCCTTGCTATTGCAAACCCTAGTTCCTTGTTTTCCTTGGTAAGCTACTGCAAATTTTATTTATAGTACAGTAGTTCTAGAGAAGAAATTAGTTACACATTATACATATTCAGCTTTCCTTCCGGATTCTCTTCTTTCCTTGGCAATTATGGGCTTTTCATCTTCAAAGGAGGAAATAATGCTTGCATGGACTTGGAAGAATGAGAATTCACTTAGTTTTCACGAAATACGGATGCATAATTACTAGAAAATATAGTGACTAGGGCAATAAATAAAGGGACAATTTTAGAAACCTCCGCTAACGTTTTGTTGAACATCACTCAGCGTCTTAGATTTTTAAAATCTCACATGCTTCCTTTGAATTGACATTTCTAGTAACATTTTACCCCCTAAAGAGGAAATGCAAGAAAAATAAAAACTTTGGTTTACCCTTATGTCATCCTACTTATGAAGTTTATAATAAGAATAAAAAATAAAATGAGGTTATAAAAAGTAATAAGATGAAAATATGAGCGGTTACAAATGCAATAACAAGTAATCTTATAGATATATAATAATTATTATCTAATATAATGTATAACATTTTAAAAAAAGGATATTCCTAAATATATATTTGATGCTCATTAGATCATTTTTTGATTATTTTTTAAATTTGGAATTATTTATAAAGTTTTTTCCTATAAGTAGGATTTATATTACAAACTACACATATGAAGAGACTATTTTAGTTTTTATTTTAGTTTTTAGTGCAACTTAAACTAAATCATGTATTAAATCATATTTTCTAAAAAAATTTCTTGACTTTCGTATAATTGTTCACGAAATTTTTTAATGTGTCAATTGCTCACCAAAATCCTTCTATGTGGTTGACTTTGACTAGATTTAATTTACTCACATTCTTTATTGTCACACCATGACTTTGATATATAAAAATATGGACCATTATTAGATAGCAATTTATTTTTTTTAAATCTACATTTTTTGATTTAAAAATTTTGTTTTGTTTTTTGGTTAAAAAGCTATTAAGAGCAAGGGTAATATTATCAATTTGTGACTTTTGATAGGAATATTTAGTCTTCTCAAATTGACAGGGGAAGTAAGTGAAATTTTAAAAAATATTAAAAGAGTTGAGTGATATTATAAAAAACTTCAAGAGAGGTTTCTGAAATTATCTCATGAAAGAAGTGTAAGTAATAGTTACCTTTGATTGAAATATTGGAATTGCCCCAGCGAATTGTGGGCCAGGTTGTTGAGAAGCATACATAATCAGCTGGGAAATGCGACACATTCAGCATATAATAAATCCTTGGAATCAATTACGAATTAATTTTCTAAGCTGCAATGACATTTTAACTATTCCATATAATATGTTCAAAAGGAAAAAAAAAAGAAAAGAAAAAGATAGGATTCCTGATACCTGCAAAAGCTTTCGAGGTGATTGTTTCTCTTTTGTACTTTCTTTTGTTCCACTAGATTACAAGTGGTTTGCTAGTTGCTAGTTACTGGCGCGATTGCCGAATGGTGCTGGAAATTTCGTTATCTTGAAAAATTGGTGCTTTGAATTGTGCTTAATTTTGAAATTCAATGACATCAAATCATTGTGGCACCAGCAGAAGTCCAAATTTTCATTCCCCCACAGAGGTCACCATCACACCATGAGGTAGAAAGAAAAGAATTGAGCAATTCTTGCCTCAATCAATCTGATCATTCCTGAGGTACTAAGGATAATAGCAAGATAGCAAGGAAGGACAATCAAACAATTGAACAAGTTCCAATTATCTGGGGACATGTGTCGTGTACCACAGTAACTAATAGGACAGAAAGTAGCAGCAGCCCATGAAAATGTGTTTTTGTCTATTTGTCAAATTCTTTGGATCGAATGTTCCAGTTGCAAGTCAAGTGATCAATCCACTAAACTTTACCGTCCAAGAATTTCAACTCAATCTTCATCCACTAGTCGTTCATAGCCTTTCAAGAATCAATATACATAGCCTTTCAAGAATCTGAAGAGCTTATGTTTAATTAATCTTTCACAGAATCACATGTAGATTCGCTTCATGCATATAATAATACAACAAATTTGATAATGCTTATGGCAACTAAATCTTATTGGCCTGTGGAAACATTTCTCTATTATTCCATCGAAAGGTTATAGTATATCACTTTCCCTTGTTCACCCTACTGTCCAGATCAAGAAAGTCCATGCATGATGCAACTATAAATAGCCCACCAAAACATTGCTTCTCCTCATCGAAGCTTTAATCCTCAATTTTTGTCTCTTGTTGTCTTTGTCCCTCACACATACTACACACACTGATGATGGATGCTTCTTTTCAATGTTCCTCTAGCCTTAAATGCGAGTTAAGCATCATAAGAGCTAAAAATATTGAGTTCAAGTCTTCAGGACACTTGTTTGTGAGATGCTGTCTATCAGCAGGAAACAACACAAGAGTCCAACTCAATACCAAAGAAATCTCATCCAAATCTGATTTGTTTTGGGATGAATTTTTTTCACTGCAGTGCCAAGGAACTGAAGATGCCATCAACTCCTTGAGGCAAGGGAACGTTGTCTTTGAGTTGAGATGGAGAAGCACTAAACCAATTCTTGGAAGACTTACCGGTGGATCAAAAATCTTGGGAAGAGCTGAAATTCCCTGGAAAAATGTTTTTGAATCACCAAACATGGAAATTGAGACATGGGTTCGGATGAATTCAAAGAATCCATGCTTGCATCAAGATGTCAAGCCCCCCTCAGTGCAGGTCAAGGTGAAAGTTGGAGTTCCAGAGATGACTAACGAAAGGAGGTGGGATCATTCATGTGGTTGCAACGACAGTAGATGTCAATCTCTTGATTATGTTGATTATGACTACTTTGCACTTGGATTTGCTCTAGAGGCCTTGTAGATTAACGGCTGTAAAGCACTAAGGTGCTTAATTAATTTTAGATTAGCTTAATGGATTAGTTCTACGTAGTCATTCATAATACTAATATGTGCACTTACTTAGCACAGGAGTTTTGCTGACAATTGTATGTTTTCAGTAGGCAGCTTTTGTAAGTCGTTTTGAAGAAATTGTGAATCCAACTTTTCTTCAATTGTTCTAGTCCCTACTTTTTTTTTCCTTTTCCATTTTTTCCCCTTCTAAATTATTATTTCCGATTGGTATATCTACTAACGTGGAAGTTCATAATTGTCCCCATAATACAAGCCAAACTAAAGAAGGGTCAGAGACCTGAGAAGTGTTTATAGTTGGAGAACTCGTAATATAGTTCCATTTTGTTTGGTAGAAAATGAAAAAAAAATTACATATTAGCTGGAGGCACTTTTAGTAATTAAATTACATGAAAAACAGCAAAAAAAAAAAAGACTCGCAATAACTATTTTGTTTCAAATTCTCGACAACTAGATCAGTAGTACTCTGGAGATGTAGGCTCAACAACCAGCAAGAGGATAAGTGAATCAAACTTGGCTGCAAAAAAAAAAAAAATAAATAAAGGATTCATTGCAGTACAATATAGTAGTTAATTAAAAGTTTTTTCCTGATTTAATGGGAAGTATTAGCACTCTTATTTGATATGAAGGAAAGAGTTTCTAAGCTGAATGAACACAGCATTTACAAAAATTAACAAAAGGGAAAACCTACATATTAACATATACTTGAATTTTTTGAGCTAAAATATACTTAAATTGTACGTGGGATTCCTTTAATCTCAGGCTTATATATAGTTCAGATAAGCATTATATTGGGCACAGTTGAAATGCTTAACGTATAAAACTGATTCTTTTTCTGGATGAGGATCTCTCCACTGGGCATTGTTTTCAAGACTTGCATGTTCAATTTGTCCTATTTTATAAGTTCTCTCGCTATCACTGATGAGCACTCTGAAAATTATTTCCTGCCAACTTGTTCATCACTTTAAAAGACAAACTATAGAACTATATATATTCTAGTGTACAAATGGGGGTACATATATAAAGATTAAAAAAGGAAACTTTACCGTTTCCTGTAGGTGTTTAGCTGTAAAGCCAAATCTTAGTGAAGTAGTTTGTTGGGATTCTTTGTCGTAGATATGCACTGATCTATATTCCAATAAGTTCCTTTTTGGCCCGACTGTCTCAAATCTTAATACTAGGTTCGGAGGCACTAGTTTGTTGGTCCGTTTGGACAGTATATTTTGAGAAAAAAAATTACAAATATTATCTTACTTGTATCATAAGCACAATTTTTCAACTATCTTTTAATTTTACATACATCATATCATAAAAAAAATACTATAATATTATTTTAAGTAATTTTTTAAAATAATATCACATCACAAAAAGTACTACTATTATTTTGCCTTTCTGTGATTTTATGTGGTGCTACAGCAAATTCCAGTAGCACAAGAAACCTCTATGTGGTGCTACTATTATTTTGCTTTAGAGGGATTGTTTGAATTGCTATTTTTTTAGTTAAGTGAAGCAAAGGAAAGAAACAAGATTCTTTCAAAATTGGAAATCGACCCAAAAATTTATTCTATGGCAATGTTTATTTTGCCTAGTCTCCCATACAAAGCCAAAACTAGTCATTGTGAATTTTCGGTGACGTGAACTCATCCAAACTAATCCTGTTGATAGATTACTAGGGAGGGACAGCCCGCGCGACGCTCGGGAATTTGGTGCTTGTGATTCAAGTTAATTAATAATTATTGTTTAATATTTTGTAGTATAAGAATTGAAGTATGATGATTTTATCATGTGATTTTAATAGGAAAATCATAAGTTACATAGTGAGTCAATAAAAATAATGTGCAATAAGACATCTTTATCGTTATACTATATAAGAATCCATTGTGATCAAAGGTTATGTTTGAATTTCAACTGCAAAGATAAGGATAGTTTGAAAATGTAAAAATGTTTGAAGTGCAATTGAAAAGTATCCAAAGGTCTCTTCTAAAACTTATCCAAGATGATAAAACATTTTAAAGTATCAATTGGACCCTTCATCTCTCGAATATATATATGTTCGTGAAAGATCCCTCAAACAATGCTTCTGATTTCTCCCTCAACTTAAGCTCAACCTGAATTATCAAGTCAAGTTTATCCATCAATCACTTTGTATCCAATCTAATCTAAAATAATTTTATTTTTGACTAACTATTTATATAATTTGGTGGGCATAATACGATTTAATCACATGTTTCTTATAAAGATAATAATGCCCAAAAATGATAGATAAATAAGAAACTTAAGTGGTCTTTTTCAAAATTTTGTAGAAACTATTCAAATTTGGTGTTTTTTGCTAGGGCATTTCTTTATAATCTCATAAATAAGTTCAAATCAGCATAATTGTTAAAGATCTGAATTGAAACTATCTTGATTATAAAAAATTGGTGCAAATAATATTTTCTAAATTTGAAATTGTAGAAAATGGTAACTAAAATCAGAAGAAATTCCTCATATGAATTCGAATTGCAAACTATAGGTAGAAACTGCTTAATGATATTTTCCAATGTTTACTTGTATAAGTATCCAATATAACATCTCTACTTTATTGACTCGTTTGAACTATGGATAATAGTTGCTTCAATCAAATCAAGAAACATTATTTATCATTGTACAACATACAATTATGAGTAAATGAATCAATACAATGCAATCAAAATGGTGCTGTAGCTAAAGCATTTAAACTCATCAAGATTCACTACAAATTCTTTTAGATAACATAAAAAAGCAAATTTTTTGTATTTGAAACTATATAAACAATATAATACAAAAATGAGATCATAACATGGAAAGCAAATAGAGTGCAAATGACATCTTAGTACTATGTAGCATGATTAATTTTCTTTTTTAGTTTCAATGAAGTACAAAATTCTAAGTTAATAAATTTTACAATCATAAAATTTCCAATTAAAATAAACACAAGCTGAATTCCAAATCATATTACATGAAAAAATAACTACTTGAACTATAACTGCTGGAATGTAGTCAACAGATCCCTGGAGTCAAGAACAATAGGAGAAAGTTCATGAGAAATAAGGTTATTTGACTTAAATAAAGAGATAATACCTTGGCCGAGGAGGAGAAGATGATAAAATTGCTTTTCTGATTATTTTAGAAAGTGACAACATTATCTCAAATTGTACTTTGACCAGAGACAGAATCTCTAAAATCTACTAAGGAAAACAATACAATTAGTCAGTTTTTGGAATTAGAAGTATCAAAAGGCAAATTATATGGAGTTCTTAAATAAACCAATCATCAGAAAAAAAAAAACTACAATCGAAGAAGACAAACCCAAAGAACTCACCTCAATTTAAAGGAAAAGCTATACATTCCACCAAATATTTAATAGCCATAATAAAACCAAAGAGGTGAAACCAAAAAAGATAATGATAATGATAATGATTGTTTAGATAATAATTAAGTTAATTAATTGTAATTAAAATCCAATTATGTAAACATCCAATTAATTTCTTAACGGATGAGAAAGGTTTCAGGAAATTGGAAGGCTTGGATGTTAGTATAATAAATGATTAAAAGGACTTTTATGTAATTCTATCAAAACACAAACTTTATTCAGTTGTACTTGATACTCAACTTGGCACCAAACATTGTAACATACCAAACCTGCCCGTAACCTTAAATGTCTAAAAGGTTATATAAGTAATTATAGTGAAATTAAAGCTATAATGACTTGTACTCAATGTTCCAATTACTCTTCAAACACTCTCACATTCCCAAAATAATCTCACCCCTGCGGTTGAAATCTAGTTCTAAACTCGTTCTTAAATAGTATAAGGATATTAATCACTTTGAAGTACTGAAGATTTTCTGGCTTCACTTATGCAGTTCTAGCAAAGAATCTTGTTTCTTTCCTTTGCTTCACTTATTTTGATTTTGCTCGATACCTGCGCAGTTGGTGAGTTCCATCAGTAACACTACATCAAACTTTTAATGTTGTTTCATACTCTTATCAACATGTATTTCAAAAAATTGTAGGTTTGAAAATGATACATGTGCTTGAAAGTTAGTTACATGGTTGAGGTCAAGTAATTTTACAACATCACAAGCATTGTTGATAGCAAATTTAAAGAGAACATGGATATCCGAATATACAATCATGCGTATGGTAAACTTACTCTATTTAATTTAATTACTGCACAAATTTTTTAAATTTATAATTATAACCTATACCTTCTTTCATTCTTATTAGGTTAAATATTTTCGAATACTTGCTTACATTCAGAGTATTAACATAGAAAACATGTTCTATGAGCTATGCAAAAATTATGGATAACTATGTGAATGTCGTTTTTCAAAAACAGTGTGTATGCATTGTAATGACGTGGTCGACACTGTTGTTAGGTAATTAATTTCATGTACCTTTAATTTCAACAAATTTGGGCAATATAGATAGACACTAGAAAGGATTTTTCTAATTGAGTGCACTTGGGCACTCCTTAAAACACTTCAATTACACCTAAGATATTACATGCATTATACACACTAACATTTGTTATACTCTCTCGAATTAGCTTCACTTTTCATAAAAAAAAGAATTAGCACTTAACATTTTTGCACGAGTGCTTTAGAGGGATTGTTTGAATTGTTATTTTTTTAGTTAAAAATTTCATGTTCTTTTTTTTGTGTGAATATTTGTTTTTACATATTTTTTAATTATTTTTTTCCCACAAAATTACTGCATAAAAATAATTTTTTAAAAAAAAAGGCTCCTTAAAAAATTGCAATCCTAACAGCTACGTGTCTAATCAGAAAATGATATATCCAATCTTATAGCCGTTGTGCCAGTGCTACTATGAAATTAGGGTATCACTTGCAAATTAATCCTTTACTGGATTGGGGGTCCAACCTTTCCACTACAGTCATAGCCCTGAAAGAGCAAATTCCGTAATTTCTCATAATCGTTATTCTCATTAATTGTAACCATTTTTGACATGACATATATATATATATTACGCCAAGGTCATAAAGAGAGAGTTGCTTTATTTTGTTGTAGTTTGTTTTGTTTTTGTTTATTTACTAGTAATAATAATAATGGCAAAATCCACATTATATAAGGTAAATATATTGTAATGGTTAAATTATTGAAATTTGTACATTAAAAAAAATTGGAGGTTAGGTGTAATCAATTATTAATACAAGTGCCTAGTATAAAAATCAGTATTAAAGTAATGTTTAATAAACTATAAACAGAGTGATTTACAATAGATGAACACTTTTGAGTGGTTAAATCAATTACTTGTAAGTTCTAGTTTCTAAGTAATCTTAGGCCCCGTTTGGAACCTAAGTTTTTTAGAAGTTTGTCTAAAACTTTACTGTAGTGCACTGTAGAAGTTTTTGAAAAAATTTTTTAAAATCAAAAACTTTTTTTCCTTTTCTTTTCTTTCCTTTCTTCTTTTTCTTCTTCTTCCTTCCCCCTCCCCCTTCCCGGTACCTCTGCCTCCCCAACAGCCATGGTCTTACCAATTTTTTTCTTTCTTTTTCTCTTTTTTTTTTCTCTTTCTTTCTTTCTTTTTTCTTTTCTTTCCTCTCTTCTTCTTCTCCCTTCCCCCTCCCTCTTTCCTTCCCCGCCACCTATGCCTCGTTGAAGAACCAGCAGCCTGCACGCCCAAATTTTTTTTTCTTTTTCTCTTCCCCTCTTCTCCCTCTCTACTCTACTCTCCCCCTCTACTCCCCTTCACTCTCCACCTTTCCCTCCCGAAGCCAGAGAACCAGCAGCCGAAGTTTTTCAATTGTTTTTTTTGCTTTTTCTCTCCTCCTCTTCTCCATCTCCCTCTCCCCCTTTGCCCAATCTGGTCGCGTGACCAGATCGCAGTCAGTTACGCGACCGGATCGCAGTTAGGGGAAGGGGGACGGTGGCCAGGGAGGAGAGGAGGAGAAGAGGGGGAGAGGGGAGGGAAGGAGAGAGAGAGAAAGAAAGGAAAAAAAAAAGGGAACGCCGATGCCGGAATAGATGGCCGGCACCGCAAGCGGCGGCGGAGATGGTGGCCAGCGATGAAGGTGTGGTGGATCAGGGTGGGGGAGAAAGAAGAAGAAAAGAAGAAGTTTTTTTGTGTATTAGATATTTTGAAGTGTGTAGGTTAACAAATTTGTTAAGATTTTTTGGGTTCATGTAGCTAAAGTTGTTAAAAAATTAATAGTTAAAAATTTTGGTCAAAAAACTCGGTTCCAAATAGGCCCTTACATTTGCTTTAGACTAATGAATCAGGAAAACAAAACAAATGGCCTCCTAAAGAGGCAGAGAAAGAAAGAAGCAAAGCAAGACACGTGTACCAAGCCCGGCAGCACTTGAAAACGTAGCGGACAACATTACGCAAGAGCGGACAATAAATACTAGCTTGAGGTACCTGAGAAAGCATATAAGAGAACCCAACTTTTCGATGGCAGACAAAATCTCTGATTCTGGGGGGTCTACGGGCAAGGCACTACCTTTTCTTGACGATGAAGTGTGAGAGACGCCATCTTCCTCAGGTATAATTTTTCCAAGCTTTGATGAATCATGGTTCTTTTTCTTCTTTCTTCTTTTTTTGGGATTTTCTTTCAAGACCGCTGGGGATTCATTTTTTCTTTTAATAGTAATAGATTCTTTTTATCTTTTAGTAGTAATATATATCGCTGTACTGAATATATACTTCTTCGTCTTTCAGCTTGGCCTGGCCACTTTGGGATTAGGAGTAGAAATATTCGCCGTGTATTGGGAAAACAGGCGGGTACCAGCCCTGGTTGCTCTCCTAGTGGCTTTGGCAGGATGCGCTTGGTCGATCTTTAGCCATCGTCTACTGGCTAGAAGTGAAGGAGTTGAGTTTAGACGACGGTGCAAATGCATCCCACTAGGGTATGCTGGGGATGGTTCTGTGTGGGGTGATGCTCTCGAGATATTGGGGATAGCTTCTGGAGTATTCATACTTGTCTTGCTTTCGTGGATTTCATAACAAAACAAACAGAACATGGGTTTGAAAAGTCAGTGTTATATCCACTAATGTTTTCTGCCGTAGAGTTTGGGCATGGATTGTTCTTGGTTTTTGGGTGGGGTAGAAAATACTACTTCAGGTGCTCCCTTAGGGGGATAAGCGGATAGTTCCAGACTAGGTGGGTATGACCGCGCTACGGGCAGTGGATCAATGCAATTATGCCCTGTCTTGTATTGGTCATTGAGGGTTGGTGTGATGTTAGAGTAAAAAGAAACATGTAAACTGTATAGGTTGTTGAGTTTAGATTAGGATAAATATGTAATTATAAGAATGAGAGTTGAGTGTGGAAGTGAAATAGGCTACAATCATATAACGAAAAGTAAAAGCAAGAAAGGAGTAAATGTAGGAGAGTGATGTATATGATAGCTGAAAATGTTAGAATGGAATTATATGGAATTATATGAAACTGTATATGGAATTATATCTAAAGTTTTATTTATAAAGTAGAAGGTGTTGATTTGATAAATTGGATATGAAATGGTGGATAATGGTAAAATATATTGTGGAAAATTTTTTGCTTTTGAAATGCATGGTATCCCATTACACTGTAAAATTTTTTGGTAAAATAAATGACAGTTATACATGAAGTAGGTGAACTATTATTAAGATGGATAAGAAGGTAAATGTTTATTAAAAGGAAATTGTTATTGGATGTAAAGTTTAACTTGTAATTGATTTTTATCTTTTTGTAGTATTTTTAGCTATGCAATCATGTTTATTGATCAATCACAGAGTATTAATAAATAAGGATAATATAGTTCATGAATAATGTTACAGATACAAAAAGTTAATAACTAATTATAATAATAAATTGGCAAATTATAATAATGGATATGAAATACAGGGTACCAAGGGAAAATTTTTTCATCCCCATTGCTGTTAAATATTAAAACAGTAAAGACGGTCTTTGATTCTGGAATGAAAATAAGGGCGTCATTGTGCTGGAGTTGATGTTGAAGAATGAAAGCTTTCCAATTTTTTTTGAGCCGCTTGCCTTTGATTCTAATTTCTGTTATGTTATCTTTAGTTTTGAGAGCTATAAGTGGAGTTTTTTGTTCGTTGAGAAAGTAGTCAACAAATCGTGGGATTTTCTGATACAAAAAGTAAAAGTTAGTGAGCTAAGTTGAAGGAAATGAGTTAGGTAGGGAATAATTTAAGGAAAATATAATAAGAATTCTTTACCAATGTATACGGGTCGGCTGAGTGAAAGTTTTGATAAAAGCATACTGAAGTGGATAAATCTTGCGAAAAATAAGGTTGAAGTGAAGATGTCACTATTTCTTCATGAATTGGCGGATCAGCATGAACTGCACATAAGAAATATTTTTGTTGGAATAAATAATGTAAGATTGGAACATTACTATGAAATAGAAAGGATAAAGATGTATTATGAATGTATACAATTTTGCTGAAGATGAAGGTTGGTTAGAGGGACTATCCAGCTGAGATTAACTTCTTGTTGCAATTCACAAAAATTAATAACATCAAAAAATAAATTCCCAATATGTCGAAGCAATAGTATGTGATGTTCATTAGTAATATTTTGTTCACAATATTTATCCCATCCTGCTCCAAACGGGTCAGCATTTACTGTAATATTCCATTGTTTTGTTCCATGCATGAAGGTAATTGTGTGACGGCCATGTTAAGAAAGTAATGATTTGAATAGAGGAGGTAAAACCTGCATATGATATTAAGATAACAATATTTTAGATGAAATGTAAATTAGAGAAAAATTTGGAAACGTATGCTGTTGAACAAAAAGGAATGTACCTGGCCTCTATTTTTGCATCGGATGAGAAAGCAACATCTTTTTGAAATAGTATTTGCCATTTTGAAGAAAAGTCAGGTATGGATTTGTTGTAGTTGGTAGTAAGGTTTAAAATTGAAGTGAAAGATGAAAGTTTAGAAATGATAAAAGATTTTCAATCTGAAGGAGTTATGAATGTATGGTAGGAGTAGAGTTAGGAAGTCTCGGATAGAAAAGATAGGTATATATAGAGAACTAGGAGGAGGGCACCGCGCGATGCGCGGTGGAATAGATAGTACGTATGCCCATTTAGTCTTTGTTAAGTAGAAGTATTATAGAGGTCGAATAAATAGCATATTGTGATTGTGTCATATATCTTCACTTATTGAAATACATAAAAAATTTACAAAGAAGAAAGAAACAGTATATCATCGATTTGTGAAAAGCATAACTTCATTAATGAGTGGGAGTCTACAAAGGTAACACCTAAATGTGGAACGTGTAATATCAGGGGTACATAATTTCTATTCCAGCAGCCCCAAAAATTGATACAGCAAATAAGTGCGAGATTGAGTAAGGAAGAGTAGAATATGCCCATCTTTAAGACTATGATCAACAACAAAGTCATAATCTCAGCATCATAAAAGTTGTAAAAGTACTATATCTATGCTTATACCTTAGATCAGCATCACTGTTATTCAAGTCCAGGGAAAAAAATACTACACCAAAGAAGGGTAACCAAGATAAAAAGTTTTGAGGTAATAGAGCGAAAGAAAACCAGATTTTTGGGGAAAAAAAGGAAAGTCATGGACAATAGTAGTGAACATGTCACCACATGTTTTCTTTGGAGCAAAACTTCTATGTACACAAAGGGAAAAAACAGAACAAAATCCAAAATAACTGTAAAAAAAAAAACACAAAGCTTCCAACAGAAAAATAACATTCAGCGGTTGGGCACAATTCCTGCATCAAGCAGAGGGAAAAGATTTAGGCCAATGGAAAAAAATTCACAAACCAACATTAAACTAAAGCAACCAATAAGACCAGATTTGTGATTAAAAAGTTTTGAGGTAATAGAGTGCAAGAAACTCAGATTTTTTGGAAACCAGGGGGAGGGGGGAGTTGTATAGAACTATAGTAAACTTATATCACTGCATGTTATCTTAGGGATTTGACCACAATGTGTAAAAGGCATGGAAACAAGATACTATCAGAAAAATTTCCAAGGATTTTAGAGGAAGAAAATATGGCAATAATCTTGAGTTGTATCAGAAATCTGTGGATAGCCGTAGTAAACTCGTATAACCATAGTAAATGAAAACTTTTAGTCATCTTTGTGTATCATAAATGTGCATATTAAAGTTCACCATTCATTAGTATATGGTAATAGTATATGTTAATCAATCCTAATTTAAGCACTGGTACCATTTGCTGCTCAAGGGTTTTAGTAAAAATAATATTGAAGCCTCCATCCAAATCACCATCACATAATCTTCCATCTTCTTCATCTACTTCTACCTCCATGATCATTGCTTTCACCTATTCAATATAAGAATTAAAGAAAAAAAGTTCTTAGTGAACATGATGCTATCTGAAGCACACAAAATGGTACGTGAGGAACAAAATCCACAGAAGGCATCACAAAAAGAAAAAATAATGAAAAGAAATAAAAGATAGATAGTGTGATGCTTCAGTAATTCGCCAAGTATATGTACAAAGAAAAAATAAAAGGAAAAAAAACTAACCCCATGACACACTAAAAGTAACTATTTTCCCATCAAATCAGTGCATTCACAAGTAAATACCTAGCTAAAACCAGTGCACCACAGGCAATTACTTGGTGCGTAACCAAACAAATTCAACACCACACAACTACAGAAGTCATAAAATTACTGCAGTCAATCATCAAAAACCCTTTGGGAAAAATGTTTAAAAAAGGCTACAAACAAACCATCAACATGGACAGTAATGAAAACAAGCCCAAAAAAAGGACAAGGATCAACCAAAAAAGAGTAGAGAAAAGTTGAAAGACACCTGAGATTTTGGATAGAAGGTTTTCTCGCTCCCCTAAATTTGTACTTCTTTCCTTTGAAAAGTTCCTTAATTAATAAATCACTCATCTGGGATGTAACTAACTAGAGTGAGATCTTGCATCCAAACAGTAGGAAGAACAGTGATGGTAGTGAGCAAAGCAAATAGGTGTTTTGAAATTAATTCAAGTCCTCCCAAGCTTAAATGTGCATTAGGAAATAGAGATGATAAGTTATCACTCTCCAGAATGATATATTCAACACAACAAGCCTTCAAGGCCAAAACATGGAATCTTTAGTAGCAGCATGATTTATAAATCATACTAAAAGAGTAGGAAATGCAGCATGCTATCACAAAAAAAAACCACCAAACGAGCAAACCAATGGGCCAAAGATATGCATACAGGTAGCAAAACCAATGGGAAGGGCAAACACCAATGCCCAGAAGCATAAGCACTCAACAACTTTACAGATCAAAAAATAAAAAACACAGAAGAAATAAAGACGAACACCTCCAGATAAATACAGTATCAAAACACAAACGGAACGAAAAACGAACTACTATGCATGTAAACTACTCTCTAAGAGATTTTTTCTTAAGAGATTTGTTGTAATTACCCATAGAACTACTATGCATGTATGGGACCCGAAGATTCAGTGAGAAAGAAAATTATGTTTTAACATTCGTTTCAGTTTTCAAGGATAGTGACCTACAGTATTGAACACAAAGGTAATGGTTACTTGGTCTAGCCATCAAACATCTTGGAATTATGTTAACTTTCAACTCTTGATCTTATTATCTTATTTTACAAAACAAAAAAATATTTTTTAAATTTACTGTGGTATATACAGTTGTAGTTTGAGGCAATATGTACCACAACTTAACTTTCATCCATTTATCAATTCCTTTTGCTTTTCAGAGAAAATCTAAACATTCGAGTGGAGCCTCATAATGTTTCTTACTGTGCATTTAATCTCCTGACCTATAAAAGCATGGAGGCCTTGGCACATGGCACTACATTGCTGACGGATGAAACTTTAGTCCCATCAATTTGCTGAGAGAAGAGTTCACAAGAACAATAACATCATCAATGCCATCACTGTCAAGCATAGACCATCCCTCATCTGTAAAACCATTTACAGCCTCATTGAAATCCCTAGAGAAAAAATAAAGTAAATTTTAGATTCACATAAAAAATTAGAAGCCATCAGAACGTAATGTCAATAACTCAGAAACCTACTTGCTCAATCATTGGCTGAGTGCTCATAATGCTGCAGGTCTTCTTCCCCATCCTGTGACAGTAGGCTAAGAAACTTCATGTGAGATCTGTCTTAATTGGTGTAAAGCCTGCAAGATATTACAGTGTCAAATTAGAGAACAAAATGGTATATTCATCTCTTTTTAGATACTTTAGTATATTCACAAATACATTCCAAAAACTGAGATTAATATCTGAAACCAATACAATGGCATGACTGGCACAAAGGAGAGAACTGCATAGAATCTAAATATCATACCGCCATTGTTGTCTTCTGAGCAAGCAATGTTGACAGTTCATATAGTGGGCGGGTCACTTCAGGCACACCCCATGGCTGTTGGCAAGCAATACGATTATTATAGCATGGGTAGCATACTCTATGATGAAACCTGTATGTTAAGCGGAATACCTCTAAGTCTATGTGGTCAACTATATGGATTATGGAGCCATCTCCTTCACAAGGTCTGATCAAGTATCCGCTTGGCAGTATTTCAGCTCTTACAAAATGCTGAACAAGTGGCATACTGGGACCATTCTGAGTGTTGTGCAGCGATCTTTCACAGACCTAATGTTTTTCAAGAATTTAATAAATCAACCTAAAGCAACTAAGATGAGATCATTTTGCATTCCACTAGTTTACTATGAGGTACATACAACGAGACTGCCATCTTCCATCACAGGCATATAGTGTAATAGCCAAAAGTCATGAGCTAGTGCCACAGTAGTAGGGGCATAGAGCTGAACAAGGAAATCAGAACTACATTTGTCAAACAACTTTGCTTAACAGTGGATGACAACCACAGAATTCAGCATACGTAAAACTTTGACCTGCATATAAAGAAGTTCAATGGTTCCACCGTTTCCAGTAGATATCGCATTAAGGACATCCACAGCTTGGCAAGCACGAAATCATTAGGGTCGATCTTTTAAGATTTCAGCAACCTGCATACACATGAATAATTGGTACAATCTGTTATTCATGAGCAGTGGCCCATTTCTACCAAAATGAATCAAAAGTAAAACAATTTTATAGTTCAAATAAATACCAGATCTCTGAGAAACAAAGCAACATACCTGAATAAGTAAAAATCACGGTGAAGGATAAAATTGACTTCAAAATTCCGACTGCCATCAGCCAAGAATTGAAAAAATAAAATTCAGAAAATGAATCAAAAGTCACCATAGTCAAGGAATTCAAAATAAATAGGTGAAATGACAAAATTTTAAGTACATATTTTAACTTGAACTTCTATGATTTCTATAAAGTACATACATTAACTCAACCAAAAGAAAAAACTTTTCTTGATAAAAAACAGAATGCTTGGAGAGAGATTTACAGTTCTCCACTCTAAGATTTAGTTCATAGGCATATGAAAAAGGTTTTGGTAGATACTGACTTTCAAAATTTCTTTAAAGGAGGATCTTTTAAATAAGGCAAGTAGCATGCAAATTAATGAACCAGTTTATCATAAAACTTCTATGTCTGCAACTTCGAGAGTAGAAATAAGATGAATGCACTTTGATAGACAACTTTGATAATTTGGTCTATATATAGTAGCTTCATTTTTCATACAAAGTTTCGTCCAAGTAATTTTAGAATAAACAAAGCAGCCTCTCTTTATAAGGCAGCAAAAGTCACAGACCTTTACTGTAAATTATACCTTATTCATGGGATTGGTTATTGACCTTCAAACGACACCACCATCTCAACCAAGAATCCAGAGGTCCATCATGCAAAATGGTTTGATTTGAAATGACAAAATTTTAAGTACATATTTTAACTTGAACTTCTATGATTTCTATAAAGTACATACATTAACTCAACCAAAAGAAAAAACTTTTCTTGATAAAAAACAGAATGCTTGGAGAGAGATTTACAGTTCTCCACTCTAAGATTTAGTTCATAGGCATATGAAAAAGGTTTTGGTAGATACTGACTTTCAAAATTTCTTTAAAGGAGGATCTTTTAAATAAGACAAGTAGCATGCAAATTAATGAACCAGTTTATCATAAAACTTCTATGTCTGCAACTTCGAGAGTAGAAATAAGATGAATGCACTTTGATAGACAACTTTGATAATTTGGTCTATATATATAGTAGCTTCATTTTTCATACAAAGTTTCGTCCAAGTAATTTTAGAATAAACAAAGCAGCCTCTCTTTATAAGGCAGCAAAAGTCACAGACCTTTACTGTAAATTATACCTTATTCATGGGATTGGTTATTGACCTTCAAACGACACCACCATCTCAACCAAGAATCCAGAGGTCCATCATGCAAAATGGTTTGATTTGAAACACGGCCGTAGCCAACTTCACCAAGCCTATTATTTGATGAATATTCTCGATAGTAGCAACAGGAATTGGAAACTGGAATTTCTTTTGTTCTTGTGCTGCAACTTCTCTGAATCCCTTTATTTATGCCTTGTTTGATTGATCAACATTCAAGTCAAGCAATTCAAGAAGAAATCCCAAAAAAATGAAGTAAAGAAACAGAGCAACTATGAGAAAAAAAAACAGCAGAAATAACCCTTTTGCTAGAAACTAACCATTTAGAACCCAGCTTCAAAGGGGAAAGCAAAAATTACAAAACCCCATGGGGATGGTGGAGGAAATTTTCAAAATCTGCACCTGCAACAGTACAACATCATAAAAAGGAAAAAAAATTGGACAACAAAACTCGTAAATAATTGGGAAAAAAAGAACCAAAAAGTTGAAGAAGCTTTGGAAGAAAGAAAGGTTCATTTTGTTGTTGCCGATCAGGTCGGATCACAAAATGAAGGACAAGAGAGGAAAATAGGGCTTTCTTGTTGGCGATGCTGAACACGGCCAAGGCGAGACATTCTGATGTTTATTCTTGAGCCCAACGCCTCACCAATCCTCATAAAGCAAAAAAAAAAAAAAAAAAGTTCATGCGGTGTTCATGGAAAAGGAGGACGACGAAAATCAGCTGCAACTTTCCTTAGCAACAAAAAATCGAAGAGAGATGGGTGTGATTTGACATGGATCACTGTTTGCAAGAGCAGCTCACCTGCTCTCACCACAGAGCTGCATTGCAGACCTTACGAAAGAAGACACAGTAATTTTAGAGTGGAAACAGCACTAGTATCTGCCCGAAAAGAAGTGGGTTGGAATGGGCAGAGAGGAACACAGTAGCAAAGAACAAGTGGAAGGAAAGACGAATGAAGGAGAGAAAAAATAAGGTGGAACCAAGTCAAATTTTGGAGTGGAAACAACACCAATATGTGGCCAGAAAGAAGCAGGTTGGAGTGGGTAGAGAGGAGGCTGATTGAGTGGGTAGAGAGGAAGCTAATGACCTCCACCGAACACCTGCAGACAAACACAGTAGCAATAAAGTGATAAACAGGTCGAAGGAAAGACGGGACGATGAACGAAGAGGAGGAAAAATCAGGTGCAACAAGCAAAATTTACGACCAATCATTTCGCGCCACATAACCAGAAAACCAATCCCCTCTCGCCACGCGGAGGACGACCACGTCCGATGTGGATACCGGGCATTCGCCCTTAGTACTATATGGTTAATGAAGAAATTTAGAAAAAAAAAATTTTAACGAAATGAATGTATAAGAACAGGAATAATTAATGAAGATGGTTGAAATAAGAACAGGAATAATTAATGAAGGTGGTTGAATATGTAGTTGGTGCATGTTGTCAGAATAATAAAAATGAGATAACATTGTTGTAAATGAGAATGATTCAGGAATGAGCACGTGGTTTGGTCTGTGAATCTATATTTTTATACGTGTAAGAAAGGTAAATTGAAGAAGAAAGATAAATGGAAACAATTTTGATAAGATAAAAGAAAATTATAATGGAATGGCAAAATTGTAATATAACTGTCCTTATAGTCAACTAAGCTCAATTATTACAATGATGACAATCAAGTCCCAACACATATGGGAAAAACCGAAACAGAAATGCTGCTAAAGGGGTCCAATCGGGTGCAAGGAAAGTGAAGGCATGCAGCATTCATTTGAAAAATAGAGTAATAACATTTCCATTCGGAATTTTTGTTTGCACAAACACGGGCAATCCTCACGTACAAAGACGACCATAAATCGTCCAATAATATTTTGCCACATCACAAAAAAAAAGGAGCTCTCTTGGCACACCTCCACGCATTTAGTACATATGTGTTGATAATAACTTTCAAGGCTGCCGTTTGATATATAGTTCCATTTTGTTCGGTAGAAAATGAAAAAAAAATGACTTGCAATAATTATTTTGTTTCAAATTCTCGACAACTAGATCAGTAGTGCTCTGGAGATGTAGGCTCAACAACCAGCAAGAGGATAAGTGAATCAAACTTGGCTGCAAAAAAAAAATAAATAAATAAAGGATTCATTGCAGTACAATATAGTAGTTAATTAAAAGTTTTTTCCTGATTTAATGGGAAGTATTAGTACTCTTATTTGATATGAAGGAAAGAGTTTCTAAGCTGAATGAACACAGCATTTACAAAAATTAACAAAAGGGAAAACCTACATATTAACATATACTTGAATTTTTTGAGCTAAAATATACTTAAATTGTACGTGGGATTCCTTTAATCTCAGGCTTATATATAGTTCAGATAAGCATTATATTGGGCACAGTTGAAATGCTTAACGTATAAAACTGATTCTTTTTCTGGATGAGGATCTCTCCACTGGGCATTGTTTTCAAGACTTGCATGTTCAATTTGTCCTATTTTATAAGTTCTCTCGCTATCACTGATGAGCACTCTGAAAATTATTTCCTGCCAACTTGTTCATCACTTTAAAAGACAAACTATAGAACTATATATATTCTAGTGTACAAATGGGGGTACATATATAAAGATTAAAAAAGGAAACTTTACCGTTTCCTGTAGGTGTTTAGCTGTAAAGCCAAATCTTAGTGAAGTAGTTTGTCGCGATTCTCTGTCGTAGATATGCACTGATCTATATTCCAATAAGTTCCTTTTTGGCCCGACTGTCTCAAATCTTAATACTAGGTTCGGAGGCACTAGTTTGTTGGTCCGTTTGGACAGTATATTTTGAGAAAAAAAATTACAAATATCATCTTACTTGTATTATAAACACAATTTTTCAACTATCTTTTAATTTTACATACATCATATCATAAAAAAATACTATAATATTATTTTAAGTAATTTTTCAAAATTAATATCACATCACAAAAAGTACTACTATTATTTTGCCTTTCCGTGATTTTATGTGGTGCTACAGCAAATTCCAGTTCTAGCAATGCAGCTCTAGAGAAGAAATTAGTTAACATGCGGTCCATATTAAGCTTTCCTTCTTGTTTCTCTTCTTTCTTGGTCACAATTTTGGATTTTTATCCTTAGAAACTTGCATCGAGTTAGAAACTTCAAAAAAGTTATTCACATAATTGTCGTGAAATACGGATGAAATTACCTGTATATATATATATATGTATATGTGTGTGTGTGTGACAAGGGCCATGGAGGAAGTGTGATGGTGGTAAAGGGATTGAGAAAGAAGTATGAAATAACTTTGATTGAAGCATCCTAATTGTGCAAAGTACTTGGGAGAATTGCAACAAAATGGTGTGATAGGCACAATGGAAGTAAGTCTGACAGGGGTTAATCGATTTTTGTAGATACATTGAAATTGCACAAACTACAAAGGATGGGGAGTGCAACATATTCAGCAGAGCATAAATATTTGAAAATAGATTATAAACTAATCTTGTAAGCAGCAATAACATTTTGATCATTACATCTAGCAGAACATATGTTCGACAATAGGAAAGATAGGATTCACGACGTTTGCTAGAGTTTCGAAGTGACTTTTTTTTTATTTTATTTTAAACCTCTTTCTTTGTCCCCTAGTGTACTAAGTGGTTTACTAATTGCTAATTATTGGAGACTATTAGTGCTAATGGCAATTTTCTTATCTCAAGAATTTTCCTTTTTTTTTTTGCATTTTTTTAATTGTCTTCAAATTTGACTTATTTTATATATAAAAAAATGTATCACAAGAAACCTCTATGTGTTTGTGTGTGTCTATATATATATATATATATATATATATATATTCCATGGTATGTGGGCAATGTGTATTAAAGTAAGCTTTGAAATTACAATGGCATATAGCTAATATTCTCTTGGGAAAAAAGTGTCTAAACAATAAAATTAAAGGACCAAAGTAAAAGTATGTCTATTGTTGAAGGGTCTAAGTGAAATTTAACTAATTCTGTCACGTAGCAAGTAGAAAACAAAATATTCAGCCCAGGTCAAGTGCTTTAACAAGAAATCAAAATTCTCGTTCCTCGACAAAGATCCCCCCCACTCCCCTTAGTTTCTTAATCTGATTCTTCTCTTCTCTGCAATTAATTAATTTATTTACAGTGAACTCCTGCTTTGAACGATCATGGTATATCCTGTCAATCTAGCTATTATGATCTTGAGATCAAAAGAAAAGAGAGAGAGAAAAGTGCTCAAGAGGAATGCTTGCTTTAATTTTTAATCCCTTCAGTCATTTCCGATGTACTGAGGAAAGCAATAAGATTAAGGTGCGAGAATCAAACAATTAAACGAGATCCAATTACCAGGGGACATGTGTGTCGTGTACCACAGTAACTACTGGAGATAGGAAAGCAAGCAACGAACCATGAATGTTTTTTTGTTTTTTGTTTTTTTGAAAAATAATCCCATGAAAAAGTGGATATTTTATATGTTTAATGCATGGACTGAAATCTGAATGGTCAAGTGATCAACCCACTAAATTGATTTATCTAAGTGTTTTAACTCAATCTTCATCCAACAGTCGTTTATAGGAGGAGATAAACATTAGCCTTTCAAGAATCTGAAGAGCTTATATTTTATCCAACAGGTAATCTTTCACAAAATCACGAGTAGATTCGCTTGATGCCATATAATAACACACCAAATTTCTTCATATTGCTTGTTGCAACTAAATCTTATTGGGCCTGTGGCTATCTTTCTCGATTATTGAGGATAAGCAAGTTGTAATTTCATAAAAAAAAAATTTATACCACATTTAACAAAAAAAAAAAAGGAAAAAGTTATGCCACCTTCCTTCTCCTCTCCCAACAATGAAATGAAGTTCATGCATGATGGGAGCTATAAATAGTTCACCGAACCAAAGCTTCTCTTCATCAAAACATCACTCCTTAATTATTATCGTCTGACCCAGTCTCTGCCCCTCTCATACACTACTCACAATGAAAATGGATGCTTCTTCTCAATGTCTCTCAAGTCTTGTGTGTGAAGTAAGCATCATAAGAGCCAAAAATATGGAGTTCAAGTCTTCAGGAGACTTGTTTGTCAGATGCTATCTTCCAGCAGGAAACAACACAAGAAGAGTCCAACTCAATAGCAAAAAAATCTCATCCGAATCTGATTTGTTTTGGGATGAATTCTTTTCATTAGAGTGCCTAGGAACTGAAGATGCCATCAACTCATTAAGGCAAGGCAGTATTGTCTTTGAGTTGAGAAGCATTAAGTCAGTTCTTGAAAGACTTACTGGTGGATCAAAAATCATGGGGAGAGCTGAAATTCCATTGGAAAATGGTTTCGAATCACCAAACATGGAAGTCGAGACATGGGTTAGGATGAATTCAAAGAATCCACGCTTGCATCAAGATGTCATGCCCCCCTCAGTGCAGGTAAAGGTGAAAATTGGAGTTCCAGAGATGACTAACGAATGGAGTCAAAATAATGACAGGTTGAGGAGGAGGAGGTGGGATTATTCATGTGGTTGCAAAGAAGGTGGATGTCAATCTCTTGATTATGACTTGTTTGCACTTGGATTTGCTCTGGAAGCCTTGTAGATTAGGGGTTGTAAAGCACTAATAAGGTGCTTAATTAATTTAGATTAGCTACAAGAAATTTGGCTTGTTGCGACGCCAAGAATGTGCTGCAAAAAGTCCAAAAATCGCCGCAAAAAAGTATTTGCGACGCTTTTGCAACGCAAGTCCTTTGTGCTTCAAAAGTAGCCGTTACAAAAGAAAACGACACTTTATTTTAAATGTGTCGCAAGTATTTGCCGCACAATTAGCGACACATATTAGTGCCACAAAATATGCAAGCAGAACAAAAATTGCGCGGCAAATCATGCGACACAAAAATTGCATCACAAATAGTCTCCTTCAATAAACAGATGCACTGAAGTGATTTACACTTTTTGCATATTTTTATGAATTATTTTCCATGCTTGTAGTACATTCCCCTTTCAAGTGTTAATTCAATTCACTATCTAAATGGAAACAATCATTGCAAATTTCCAAATTCATCATTATAACCTAATTCTAAAAGGTACAAGTAGTTCCTAATTCCAACCAATTTTGCAAAAGTCATCACGTTTCAATATGATTAGGCCACATTGAAACAATTTTCATAATAATTGCAACTTCCTTCCAGAAATGGCATGGCAAATGTAAACAATCCACTGAATTCGGCTCCTGCAACTTCCTTTACTAGTGCCATATATATGTGGGCTGCGTCATCAAAACTCAATGAACTTGAGACAGCAAAAACCCGAAGAGTAGTGCAAACTGTCCTTATGGAGGAAATGGTGTTCAGATGCCATCTCCAAGTGTTCCTTGAGTACCTTACTACAACCGCAACTCAATCCTTATCCTTTCCAGTCTCCAAAAGCATCATCATCTAACAATCCTCCACAGACTTCACTTGGTGGCTTACCGACCGGAACACACATGAATTCTGCTAGTTCACCGAACATTGCAATGCAACAGCCAACATTTTCCAGTGACACAGATGCAAATGATTCCCAGAGTTCTGTTCAAAAAATCATACATGAAATGATGATGTCAAATCAGCTTGGTGGTGGTATCATGGGCATCAATAATATGGGGAATGACATGAAATTAATGCCAACGAGCAATAATATGGGTCTAACTAGTAATAACTGCATCGTTGGAGATGGGGTAACCAACCAACCAGTCCAGTCTTCAGTCCGCAGCTTGGGTTTATAAGCTTATTTGGGAAATAGCCAACTAGAAGCCATTGCATGTATTAATCTGGGCAGAATTAACACACACATATAAGAAACTGGTAACTCTTACAAAAAGAATTAACCAAAGTTGCTACAGGTAGTAATATTTGGTAAATAAGGAATTTTCTTTTAAAATGAAACTGAATTTTACTAAATACCAAGAACACCAATTATTAAATGGTATGTTGAAGCCAAGGAGGAAATGGCGAAATTTGTCAATGACTCAGTGAACACAGAATTGCACTCAATTGGCAAAAATTAAATTAGCTACTATTTCGTATTCAACCATCCTTAACCAAATAGTTAGCTACCATTCAGTGGGCCACTTAACTACAGATGAGCCAATACATGGATGAGTTGATACCTAACCTGCCATGAAAGTCCATTCAGTGGCCAAGAAAGTTAGCAATTTAACTTGTCATTGGACCTGAGAAAGCTAAAAGAATTTACATTTCACACAAACATATTCAGAAAAAAAAAAAGAACGATAAAAGAATAATTAACAATACCATTAAAAGCATTTTCCATCCTCTATTTTGCATGACTTGAATCCATATATCATAATTTTACACATGACTAAAAACTGCATGATTACTGAATTCCATAAAGCTATTGAACTCCAAGGCTTATTGTAGAAATTGTGTAGCTCACTTTAACATTGGCAGCATTCTTTTCAATTCTCCAGTCAGTGATTTGTTTAGTAACAACGTTAACATCCTAAACTAAGTTTCATATATTAGCATAGATTTGATAGCTTATACATACATGTTCTGTTTTATGACTATATTGCTGATGGTACCTAGTTGGCCCATCATTGAATAACTGAATATTTATAATGCAGTTATATATCCAGTGTATTCCAAAAATTTAAGAAATGAGAAAGTATGCAACCAATAATCCCAATTTGAGGATCCTACGGTTCTTTTAGAAAGCACCTTAATTCTGATTTCCAGCCTAAATCCAATACTTTCAACTCTATCAATTCTCACCACTCAATCGCAATCGAATTCCAGCAACAATGTCCACTGAAATTAAAGGAAAACGAAAAGAGAATAGATGCCTAGCTGAATTTCTTGCATGCTGCTTCTACTACACCTCATCTGTTCTGCATTTGCCTACCCAGATATATATATATATATATATATATATATATATATATATATATTTGTGCTCTTTTTAGATGGCAAAACTCTACAACAACAATCTCTCCTGGGTGACTGCAAGATAGAATGGTTATAATTAGTGTCGGTCCTGATAGAAGTTATGTAAATAACACAAACACCAAGCTAATAATGAGAGAAGGTGGGCCTACTATTATACCCGTAGAGGCAATCATGCTTAACAATTTTGTGTTACAATATTATCATACCATGTCATAGTGTGAAGCAAAAATTCTTGCTACCATAAGCAAGTGCATTTTTAAGTAGTTTGAATGCCTTGTAACCATTTTTAAGGATTAAATCAGGAATTACTTGGTCTAAAACAGCAATACTTGATTGCCATTTTCCACTTTCTTGAAATGATTATGCTCCAAAGTTGGGATTTCTCCTAAACTATTTGTGTGATCCCAGTCTCCAAGAACAGGGAGATTTGTTTACAAGCATTTATGACAGAATTACAAATAACACCTAATATCAGTAGCATGATAATCGGACAAATATATAAACCAGAGGATGGAGTGCACTTAAGCTTCAAATGTACCTTCTGCCAACGGCTGCTATCTGGTTGTTTCAAGACAACGACTGTATTGAGTTTCTCAGGCGATTTCATTTCCATTTGCAATATGGGCTGGACTCTTTAAAACGAGAGTAAACTCATATTATCTCCCCTTAAGTCACATTAAATATTCTAAAGAATTACAAAAAATACATAAAAATAACCACAAAAGTCTATAAACTCCCGAGCACTAAGGGCATGTAATAAATTCTCTGATTTTACCATAAAATAAATGAATAAAGTGAAAAAAAATTGCAAAGGAATTGAGCTTAGTTACCTTGCTTTTGAACCAGAATAGCTAGCAAAATTGTTAGGTAAGTTCTCTCAAAGCTACAATTAGTTCACCGATGATCAAAATTACATGGAGAAGCACTGCAATTGGGAATCGATTTCAACTGCTGAGAATAAAAATGGAGGAGGTCTATCTTCCTCGTGTTAAAACCCTAGCTTCAGGCGTCGAAACCAATTAGCAATCAATCTGTCTATTCTTCTGGAATTCCTTTGTATCTCAAAGATGAAGGTGGTTGCCGCATATTCGTTGGCCGTATTCGGAGGAAAATGGAGGAGGTGGAATTAGGTTTGACCATTTGAGAGAGAGAGAGAGAGAGAGAAAGCGAGATAAGTTCATTGGGAATTCGGAATCAGAATTTAGAATTTGGAAGAAAGAAGTGTGGGAGATTTGAAATTAGCAGAGAATGGAGACATTGGAAGTGAAAGCCGGTTTCCCCTTTTTTTTTAATACCTTTTTCTAGATTCATTAAAACTACGTCATGTTACCACAAAAATTATGCGCCTTTGTCAACTTTGCCACAAAATTTGAAATGTGCAGTTTATTAGCTGCATTTTCTCCTTGTGCCGCAGCGAAAACGTCACAAAAAGCCTACTTTCCTGTAGTGTTAGGTGAATGGTTCTGCTAAGTCATCCTGCTTAAAGAAAACAGCATTTGCAAAAAGTAACAAAAGAGAAAGCTAGTACGTACTGTTTAATGAGGATCTCTCCATTACTTGCATCAATTTCAAGGCTTACATGTTTAGTTTGTTGTAGTTTATATGTTCTCTCGCTATCATTGATAAGCACTCTGAAAATTATTTCTTGCCTACTTGTTCATCACTTAAAACACGAATTACATAGAACTACTGTATAGTGCAAAGGTTACATAAAGATTTAAAAATAAATCTTTTTGGTATTCTTGGTGTTACTTGGCTGCAAAGCCAAATCTTGGTGAACGAATTTATAGATATGGACTGATCTATATTCCAATAGGCAGCTGCCTTGTGGCCTGACTGTCTCAAATGTTAATACTAGCTTCGTAGGCACTATGTTTTCTCCTTTCTTTTACTTTCTGCGATTTTGTGTGTTTGCTGCTGCAGATTCTAAGGGTGTATTTGATAAAATTGAAATTTAAAAATTAAAATCTAAAATTTGAAATATGAATTCATTGATTTACTGAATTGTTAAGCATCAAATTTGATACATTTGACTGTATATCATCACATTAAGTGATAAGTGAATAACTTATCACTTATTTTTTGAAGCGAGTTTTGTCTAAAAAATTCAGTGCCACTTAATTAACTCAGATATTTTACTCTTAATTATTAAATGCATTTGAATATGTTAAGATCTTAACTCATTAGATTTAAATGTTAAATTGAATTATCAAATAAGGCCTAAATCTAACAATGTAGTTCAAGAGAAGAAATTAGTTGAATAGGGTCCATGTTAAGCTTTCCTTTTCGTTTCTCTTCATTTTTGGTTGCAACTTATGACTTTTTATCACGAGAAAGGCAAATATTGCTTGCATCGATTTTAAGACAAAATGATAATGAAACTTAAAAAATCATTTGCATAATTGTCGCGAAAATGTGGATGTGAATTACTAAAAAATATTGTGACAAGGACATTGAATGATAAATATAGAGAACTAAATGATTACTCGTAGAGGTATAAAAAATGGATATATGGATCATAATTGATTTCATATAAATGGATCATGGATTCAATGATTCAATCCTTTTAAATCCATAAAATAAATGGTGTATGTGGATTGGATCCAAATGGATAATAGAGATCCAATTGTCCATTAAAATCCATTTAACTAATACATAACTAATTCTATCATTTCATTTTTCTATTTTTTCTCTATTTTTTGATTTCTATTTCTTGCCTATCTTTTTCTCTTTTGGCTGAAGAAAGAGGAATTAAAGCTTGTAGAGTATCTAATCCTTAAATTTGAACAAAATTCTCCTTCTCCTTTCCATTTTAGTAAGAATTTAATCTTTAAATTTGATAATTTTAGGAAAAATTAAGAAGGATTTTGTGAAGAAAATGCCAAACTAACTTTTTTTTTTCAAAAAAGAAAAAGAAAAGAAAATTATGCAGGAGCGAAAATGGAGGTAACTCCAAAGAGCCGGACAAAGTGAACAGAAGAATTTATTCTTCCAATGGCAATCTAAAATCATGTTGGTGTTGGGCTAGATTGCCTACGCGGCTCAGAACCAGAGAATGTTCAGTGATAAAAAGGAAGAAAGACGGAATCTATTGAGATATTTGACTTTCATTGAATTCTTGGATGGGAAAAATTTGTGATTGAGAGATAGTTTTCTGGCGAGCAACGAGTACCTGGATTTGTTTTATTACTTTCTTGAATGGATTTAGATGGATTATCCACTTGAAACCATCAAACCAATTGGTTTTACGCAGATGTTCATCAATATCCATCTAAATTTCTTTAGTAATCCAAAACCATTTGAATGAGGCGGATATGGATGAAAATTGTCACCTCTAATTACTCGCATAAATGTTGCAAAATCTGGATGAGAATTACTAGGAATACAGAATGGATACTTATTTTATAATTTTGTTACTCTTTACAATTTTTTTTTCCTAAAATTTTAACGCTTTTCATCAAATTTCTATGCCATTTCATTGTTGCGAGTAATTGTATAATTGTAAAATCTATGCAAACTCATTTGGCTGAATTAAACTACGCTTGTTTGATCAAAATATTGGAGACCAGCTTTATCAAAATTAATACTTTAGTGACTACATTTATTTGAACTGATATATTAAGGACCAAGTCAGTCCACAGTCCAAAAATATTGGGAAATAATTGTATTTTCCCTACTAAGTTGAATACGTTATTTAACATAACGCTATTATATACCAAAGAACTCAAACCAAGAATCGAAAATTTCCAATCTCCAATAACCTAAAAAAGAACTTTCTACCCGTCAAAAGATCGTGTTGTTATATAGATCAAGATTGTCGAGTCATGGCATGGATCAGAAGCAACAGAAGAAGCTGCTTCTTGGATTGGGCAAAATAAACAATCAAGTAGTAAACAGTTTCATTGTGCCATATAATTAAACCGGTGATGATTAAAATCTAGACCTTCGCTATGAACAACGGTGAATATATATAATGCAAGGAAGCTAATTATCATAACAACCACTTGTTGCAACACATAATTTTGTAATTATCTAATCCCTACACACGAAGCAGCCGAATAATTTTCTTGAATTCTTCTTGGTCTTTTCTTCTCCTCCGTTGGCATAGGAATCAATGATCTCTTGAGAAATTTTCCTTTCACCATCTGGTATAACACGAACTAAACTCTCCACATAATTATCCACTACAAAGTACTTGAACCAAAGCCAAGAAGGTTTGATATCATGATAAGCCAACCCACTGATGGCATCCTCAATCAATTGGCTATCTGGATCATACAAAACCAGACGTCCTGATTCTTTACGTATTGGTGCTGCATAATGTGCTTGAAATGCCAGAATCTTCCCACCTGATGTGACATCAGTTGTGCTAAGATGAGGCCAGATAACCATATCCGAGTTTCTTGTGATCACAAATTGTTTTACCCAAGAACCTTCTTCTTTCATTGCCCAAAGCTCAAACTCTCCTGATGTGAAACCACTTACGGAAACACACCCCCTAAACAATCTAAGCCTCCGGTATGAGTTAACGGGAACGTAACTTGGAACCGTAATCACTTGAAATATTTCTCGTTTCATATCAAACGCGTTCAACCAAATGCACCCTTCCTCGTCAGTCCCACTTATCCAATAAAGGAATCCTTCATGAATCACACCTACACAATCATGACGCTCAACCCGTCTGGGCGCTCCGGGAACAGTGTCAAAGGTGATAGTTTTCCAGGAATGGTTTCTTAGGGTATAGATCCCAACCTTGTAGCTGACATACCCTTCTGGTACTACTTTCAGCCTGCATACTTTTGCCACTATATAATCGTCCGCTCCTGGGTCGTAGCCAAAGCCTACAGCAATAGTCCAATAACCTGTGCATATGCTTCTAGGTAACAACTTGAATTGCCCTAAAGCTGGGTTCCAAAGATATAGTATCGAGTCCCCGCTACAACCGCAATCCTGGAGAATACATAGCAGCCCATTAGAGCTGCCTACGACGTACATTTGCATCCCAAGATACATGAATTCGTCGCGTTGATGAATAATTGTCCGTTGATTATCAGAATTCGCGAAACCTGGGGCATCCAGGATGGATCGATGGCAGGGGCAATAGGTGATCCAATTGCGCATGTAGATTTTGCGGTGTGCCTTGTTTTGGAGAGATTGTTGCAGATGAGACTTGATGAATTCTGGATCTGAGTTTATGAGATTCCGCCATGCCTTACAGACGCAAGTCAGTCTTATGAGGGTCTTCACTGGTAGACAAGTCAAGATAAAACAACTGATGATGTCTTCTGGTAACGAAGGCAAGATACTTGGATTTGAAGGTTCATCGGCCTCCATCTATGCTGATCCCAGAATTATAACTTAAAATTAAATCTTTGACTCTTGATGTTATACCCTGAGATATCGAAGCGATAAGGGGGGAAAAAGATGACGTAAGCATATGGATCAACAAATTAACAGCAATAGTCGATCTGCTTTTGTCGTCGCATAGGATTAGTACAACGAGGTTGCTGCTGCCATTAATGTTGAAGTTGATGATCTTCTGCGTATTTCAAGGAAATAAAAATGGCCAAGATTGATTGCGAGAGAGAGAGAGAGAGAGCGGGTGGGATGGGAGAGAGCAGCAAAATTTGTTTTAGTTGGAAGTATTAGACCATTAAGAAGACGTCAGCAATTTATTATGGTTCCTTCTCTGGCTGCTCCGCTTCTAGTGCCGTGCGAGGTTTTGGCTTGGGTTCGCATTTACCGGGGCATTCAAGAAATTAGTTTGAGCGTGCTAAAACACAAAGCCAATATATATCTTTGAGTTTTTAGACGGGTGGGTGATCAATCCCAGTGACAAAATCAGTTGAGGTTTTGACAGGAAGAAATCAAACATACAGTGACAAAATACACCTTACACAGTGATGACTCTCCAAAAGAAGTAAAAAAAAAAAAAAATTGTAAAAAAATGAGACCAAGACCAAGACCAACATTGAGGATCGCACAATTCAGTCGAAACGCTTGCAAATTTACTATCCATACTATGGCCAACATTTCGATAGCCAACATTTTCATTTTGTCAAGGGCTCAATAGTTCAATTGACTGCACGAAAAACATGATTTTTTTTTTAAAAAAAAAATTTGAGGGAGAAGAGCTGTGGATGAGGTGCTAGTGTGCTTTGCGCGAGTGCATGACGTGGAAAGACACACCATTACGCCTAGGCATGTCAATGAATCAAATCTTACTCAAATCCAATG